TCGAAGGTCATAAAGTCGTCGAGTTTTTGAATTCAGCGTGCGCCGACTGGTAGAGTAATCGGTACTGCGATGAACATGGGCAAGAAGACAGTGAAGTAGTACCAAGTTACTGAAAAGACAGGTGCCGATTTCTCAGGTTGGTACCATGGTGACCGCTTTGGAGGTCAATAGCGACGTTGTCAAGCTCAACGGAGCCGTCAAATGGCGGTGATACTTCTACTATTTTATGTAACAATGTGCTGGTCGTCGCACCTTCTCGGCCGATTTGAGACTGGAACAGCTGAGCATCCAGACTGACAAGGTCGGTCGCATTGAGGTCGATGACGCCTTCCGTGCAAACAGGTAGCTGGCATCTTTGCCGTCGAAGATGTGATCAAGGGCGCTATGCTGACACACAAGGCCGAAGGGGAGAGTTGGAGAACACTGCCGGTAAGAACGGCCACTGAAATACGGTGCTATCCCCGGTGTCAGCTGTACGCTCATGGAGTTTACTTCGGTGGGCAAGACGAAAGATAGGAAGGCATGGAATACAACGTTGGCGAATTCCCCATGATGGCTAACTAACGTGCCCCTTACGGTGGCCAACTCCGACGGTATAGTGAAGATGCTGGCCGACGAAAAGACGGACAAGATGTTTGGCGTGCACATTATCACCAGCAATGCAGTGAGATGATCACGGAGGGTGTGATCGGTTCTTGAATATGGCGCTGGCAGCGAGGACCTTGCACGCCCACCCGACGCTAAGCGAGGCGTTCAACGTGGCTTGCCTGGCCGCTTTCGAAAAGCCTATAAGCACCGACGTATACTGCCTCTTAAGAAGTTAGGTGCAACATATCGAGCATTCATACAGCGCATCAAGAAGTTGAATGCTACCCCGTAGCATAGCGTGCTTACCGCGGATGCACAGGTTATATACGTTTCTCTTACGCAGCATCGTTATCTCGTGTCATTTAATAGCACAGGTCGACAGCTCTACCCTGACAAGACCACGTTAGAGAGTAAGAAAAGCAACAAAAGGTTTGTTTCCTGGTAACGAATCCCTTTACTTGTTATCAGAGTCGAAGTAGCTTCCATAGCGCTACTTATAGCACAATGGTGAGACGTCTTGATGCTTTAGACTAATAATGTCACAAGCCCATGAGGAGGTACTGTAGCCATAACAGCAAACTAGAAGAAAATCTGCACAGAGGGTCCCATAGTAGACTTGAGGTACAGCACCTTGATGTTCTGCCAGTTCTTCTTTAGCAGCGAAGCCAAAAAGTTCGCAGCCAGCTGCGTGTTCACCACAATCTGCTGCTTGTCAAGGCCCACGTGACCAATGGCGACGTTAAGACACATCACCTTCTTCATCTGAAACTTGATGGTAGCACGCACTTGATCCGCCTTCTCCGTGAGCGAGTCGTTTGACGTCACAAGTGTCGGGAACTTACCAGCCTTGTTAAGTCCAGGACCTAGCAAACGTGGGATCTGCTTGATCAGCGTGTCGGAGGCCAGAAAAGCGTCGTACTTCTTGGCAAACTTCTTGATCACCTTTTTGTTCTTGTTGAATTTCTTCAGATCGTCCACTGTCATGTACTCAAAGCCCTCTTTTTCAGCCATTTCACAGTGAATAGCATTTCCAAGTACACAAATCTTCATGTTGGGACGAGGGACCGTCGGCAACTTGAACGTGCCACTGAAACGTTTGTCTTTTTGCGGGTCGTAGTTCTTAAGAGCAATCTGGAGCTCAATGGTCTCGTTAAAATTACGTTTTTTACCCTTTAGCTCATTGCCATTAATAGTCACAGTCTCACCAGCTGAGAACGACAAAATATCATCCACTGCTTGGGATAACAATTCACTGTTTAATTTGCTCATCTTATTCCTTCCTTTTGGTCGGGCGCTTCTTCGACTTGGGATTCAAAGGTAGAATGAAGGACCGGAGACGGTAGGCATATTTGGCTGGCTGGAAGTGAGCGTATTTTAACGAAGATTCACGGTAATTATCATCCTATTGACAGTACGATAAATTTAGACATTTAGAAGTAGCTAGTTTATATACTTCCTTAATTAGATATCGTCAGAGGACGCAAAAACTAATAACCTACAGAAAGTTGAAACGTAATGGAAGAATACATTATTGGAGGGAGACCTGTAGTGTAATACTTAGCCATGCATGTTCTACCAGCAGCACGATTCTTGATGCCGACAATAATTGCGTTCTATAGTTCTAAACGCTTTTCTCCTTCCTCTGCCTCCCGCTTGCTTAGTTTATCGAGAGAATCAGGATAAGAAGACAATTCGGCCTTGAACAAATGGAGGTCACGAATTCGAATTGGATGAAGTAGCGGACGCACGTCAGCTTTGATTGCGTTTTTGCGCTTGTGTCTGGCTAGCTTTTCAGCTGGATTGGCACGACCGATAACGTGCACACACAACTTCTTGGGACTTTGTAGAATCCACTCGCGATAAAGCTGCGCCATCTCGCTCTTGGTTAACGTCTCCATCTCCTTTGCAAGCTGAGCATTGATGTCGAATGCAAGACGACGTGACGTGATTTCGTACCAGTAACTGTGTGTCGTCTCTAAAAGGTTATGATCGGGTTCGAGCTTCAAAAGAATCTGTGCTTGAACGTGGTCGTGGAAGCGCTCGTCCGTCATCATTTCGATTGCTTCTTCGAAATCAACCATGAAGCGGTCAACGCAAGAGGAAATATGCTCGGCCGCAAACAGCGATGACTGCACCATCACACCAAAACCCACAATGCCGTTGGTCACACGAACGGTACACGAGACATCGTAACCTAGTTCTTGCTTGGTGCGCAGAGTGTCAAAAAGTGGCTCCTCCATCAACTGGTACAGCAAGTCCGCATAGGCCAGATTACGCAGCGTCAATGGACCAACCTGATAGTACACTTCCACCTGTGTGTTCGTCTCTGAATTGTTCTCACTACGCTCCTTCAGCAGAAAACCCATAGGCGTCGGTGGAATAATATTGATGAGGCGTTGGGGGAAATCGCGCAGCAATAGCGGTGCAGTCACATGCTGCAGCTGTGCTTCGACTTTTGCGATCATTGTCGAAGCGGCAGCAAGGGATATGTTTCCATGTGCAAAGCTTGCTAGCCATGTCTTGCCTGCCCACAGCTGGCTAGAGACAAATTTATTGAGAGATGCCACGGTGGCGACCTCGATCGAGTCCAAAATCTCCTCCAGCGGAAATGATCGCTTTTCCAAAAGTTGCAAGCGGAGGTACTTTGCTTTTTGAGCAACCTTCGTAATTGCATTTTTCGATTCACGCATCAATTCCTCGCGCATTACTTCAAAACGTGCTTCACTGATTTTGGCTCCACACACAGCTGCAACCACCACTTCAACAAGAACGTCTAGCTTGTCGTTGAAGCCACCAAACACCAATTCCAGCCCAGAGTCTTTGACTTGGAGCGAATACGTAAGCTCAGCTACATTTGCATGGTACGCATACTCACTAAGCGCATCCCGAACGAGCTTCACGTACAATTGGGTATGCGCCCAGTTATCCACGTTCGCAACCACGCTTGGCAAGTGCAACAACAGTGCAACATGGGCGCGAGGTGTAGCAAACACACGATCCGGCTTGTACCATAACTTCCCGAATGTTGTCGTCTCACACACGAGGTCTTTCACTCCTGTCGTGTCCACGAGTGAGAAATCTCGCGGAATAAACTGGTTCGGTCGAGGAAAGTGCAACTTCGGATTAGTTTCTGCATTTTGCCAGCGCTGGACAGTGGCGTCCGTAATGTTTTCCCTTGAGTACTTGATACCAAACCACTCTTCCTCTAGTGCCTGTTACCACAGCAGCACCACATTTCGGTACAACGACTTAGCACGCGCTATGTAAAAAGGCAGAAATGAGAAACCGTTTTCAACTTCTCACCTGCGCCTGAAATTCTGGGGACTCTTCAAATGTCTTTGAAACGATTGACAGACAGATGGTTGTAGCAGTCAAGTGGCTTAACATGCCATCGACTAGTTCCGTGTTGAAGACACCCTTGAAAAGGTTATAGCGCAAGATATCTTCCGGCGCAACCTTAAAAATCGACTAATATCATTCAACACGGTCAGCCAAAACACAAAACAGTTCCCTGGCATCATGCAACGCACTAAAGTGCCTACCTGCATGATTTCCCCCAGTTCTTCACATCGTTCAACAGCGCTATCCTCTTCCTGAAAGCGGAACGAAATGTCGGCCAGTGCTGCCAACTCGTCGAACACCCACTTCGGACAGCCATCTACCTTCAGCATGTGCAGATACTCAAAAACTGCGAGCACAATGTCTTCCCAATGGGAAATGCCCTCCGGCGTAAGCTTCATAGTGACGTTAAACTTTGCAGCGTATGTACCACAATCGTAGCCATCTGTGTCCGTTACACCTGCCGTAATTGCGGAAATCCAACCCCTCTCCTTCAGCTATAATGTCAACGTCATTCATCGTTAATATTCTCACTCAGCACACATTTGACTTTGAATTATAAGGCAAAGCTACTTGACGTACATACGAGAGCACGGATCCTTCACTTTCATGACCCAGGAGGCAAGCAATGTAATCCGAAGGCTTCTGATGATGCTGGCCGAGAATAGGCGGAATCATCCAATCGAGGTGAAGAGTGTGAATATCCCGGACGGGCACAATTTTGCACAACATCGGTGCGCCAGTACCTTTAGCTCCAAATGGTGGACCATCTGACTCGAAAGACGGTACCGCCACGTTGTTGTTCGGAATCGCACTGAAAGACTTGGTCACCCACTGCTCCAACTCATTCAGCGTGTTCTCACCACACACAACGAGCTTCATGATGTTAGCTGAGTAGTACTTTTCGTAGAATGTCAAGATTTGCTTGCGGACATCCACCCCCGCCTTCTTCGGCAGCTCATAAAGACTCTTTTTATTTCCCCAACTAAATCGATGATACGGATGACTAGCAAGCGATACATCACACAAAACTTGCTACACACCATTGTCATCCACAATAAAAAACACAAACATAATCAGATATAGATTAGTGTCAACAGTAGTAGCAGCAGCACATCTCTAACCTGCGTACGAATCCGATCATTCTGTGACGCCTGACTAAACTCAGACTCAATAGCCGATACTTCTCTCTCCATTGCTTCTGCTTTAAGCAATGGAGAAATAAAAAAGTGCGCAAACATATCCAGTGCCGGCTGCAGATGATCCGGCCCCACTTCAAAAGTATAACTTGTTACTTCATTATCCGTTGCACCGTTGCTGTAACCCCCATGAGTACTCAAAAAGGACTCAAATTCGTTTTCATCTGGGTACTTTTTACTGCCCATAAAAAGCATATGCTCTAAATAATGGGCTAAACCGGGCAGCGTCACGGGCTCAGCAAAGCTGCCAATACCCACAGTGAGACACGCGCCCGCACGGCAACTTAGTGCACCATCGTGTGCCTCTTCGTCGTCATTGAAACTGCCGTCGTCTTCGCTAATGTCGCTGTCACTACTCAAGCTCTCGTCGTTCTGTTGACTCGATTGACTCTCGCTCTCTCGAGTGATGGAATGCGACACTTCTGCAGTAGAGATAAGGAGTACTTGTAGTGAATTGGAGAGTGTCAATAGTCGGTATTTCTTCTGATCATTGGGCGATTTGGACCTTTCGACGGGATCCATGTCCATCGTAGCTCTTGAATTGGAAACTAAGTCTTTTGTACCCATTTGTGTTCAGGTTAATTGTAGCTTTAGTACCCAATTTATCGATCGATTTGACCCATTTTCGAAACCCCACGTCAACCACAGACAAAAAAACCTGTGACGTGTGATCATGAAGCTTGGCCGTGGCATCAACATTGAGCACATTAAGCGTATGACGTTACGTACCATGCGCGAAAGAACAGATGGACAACCCGAGACACTTGCGTTCCTGGACGCGCTAGAGCGCAACGACTTTGACGAAGCCCAGTGCAAACGCGAGGCGCGTCAGATGATGCTCGTGCTGGATGAAAAGAGGAAGCGTCGTGCTGCTGAGCATCGTTCTACGCTCAATTTCCATGTGATTCGCATGATGAAGAGTCATCACGGTCCACGTCGCTAAGGAGGATGGCAGGTAGAAGAGACTAAAGGAGACGACGGAAGGCGTAGAGATGACAGTGTAGAAGCAGACACGTCTCTGCAATAGTGTGGACATCATTATCATCTAACTAGTACAATCTTGCTGGCGTTTTGTGTCGCACAATATTGTATTTGGTGCCGTTGATGTGCTCTCGCTATTAGTTGTGGCTTCGATCCCTCAGGCGGGGTACCGCAAACAGCGTCTTCGTATCGCATGTTGAAACATAAGTCTCTTGCCATGGCTACCACCTCCTGTCATGCTCGAGCTTATTAATCCTTTATTTACTGACTAGGTCCGAAAAAGTAGAAACAGTGTATACGTTCCTTCTCCTTCTTACACGAATAGCATACTATCAAATTACATGTATTGCTGAATGACTGTTACTGTTACTGCAGCAGCGTAGCGAAATTTGGACCAAAAGTGGTGCATGGAATTTTGGGTAACTACTGTTTTACTAATTTTGAGGCCCACTGATATTGAAGACGTGATTGGTAAATAACTTACGGATTCTCGGGAGATTTAAAATACGTAAAAAATAATACAAAAAAACTAACAGACGCGACAAATGGAAGCGCAAAAAGAAAATGTATACCTGAATGCTGGCGGCGGCGGCGTCAGTGAGTTGCACCTTGTGGTTACATTATATATTTACTGTATGTCGTAGTGATTTTAGTCGTATACATTACTTACTAAGGCTTGTCGCTTTTCCTGCAGGTAAGAACAAACTATCGACACCACAAAATGTGTTTGTGATCCATGAAGACTTAGAGTCTCTCACGGGCAAGAAAAGTTTAAAAGAGCGATCATCTGATAAAAAGAGGTGAGGTGCTACTGAAGATACACTGACATCATGTGCAAGTTTACTGATATGTCGTCTGCGATCTCTTGCTGTAAAGACGTGTGCTGGGTGATATCTCAAACAAGCAGCGGGACCGCCAAAGGAACAACAATTCTGATGACATTGCGTCTAGTGAAAAGAGTCGACCAGGTGAAAGCCTAGAACGGCCAACGAAACTCAGCGCCAAGAAGAAGACCAAGACCCCACTGAAAACAAAAGCCGGTGCATCACTGGAGTCCAAGACAGGGATCACGCCTCCACGTGTCGAGGAAGTACCTGTAAGTAGTTTGTTACGAGAGAAACTATACTATTTATTGACCACTCACTGTTGATTTAACATTTAATGCATTGTAGAATATCGAATCTGCATACGGCGGACTGTCGTCTCCTACATCAGACTCGACGTACCTGAAAGATTTGCACGACGAGATCATACAAGATATTCTAAATGACGAAACCCCGACTCTCTTCGATGACTTTAATGCTGCTCCCGCTGTCGATGACTGGAGTGATGAAAAGGCAATGCTTGAAAGTGGAAAGCCCCCGTCTTCATGGTGGTTGAAGGAATTGGAAAAGACGGACTTCCAAGAGGAGGTGGAGGAAGAATATTCAGTGTTTGATGATGTGCCACCGCCAGATGATCTTTCTAGTGGATCTCTTGGTAGCCTTGAGACCGACGGATTGCTCGAAGATATCCTCAGTGTGGATGTCGAAGCAGTGTGCACTGAGTAATATGTTTTGAAGTGTTCATTTAGTTCGAAACACTTAGTTGAAATGCGTCGAATTCGTTATTCCTTCCGTTCATAATATATTTACTTCGAAGTATTCAGCTATGTCATTGCGTGCCCATCCGTGCCATTGCTAAGAATTTGGCAATGACATCATCTCCTGCAGATTGCCAATCATTAATCGAAGTAAAGAACACAGCAAGCTGCTCCTCCGGTGAAGGCCCTGTTGACTGCTGCCGAGATGGAATGGGCAAACCACGCTTGGTGCAATCCAGTACTTCTTGGGCCCGTTCCACCAACTGTTGTGGTATTCCTGTGACAGCACAGCATGTCTGCTAAGAATCTTATTTATCACGAATATTGGGTCCGAGACGCTTACCGCATTTTGAAGCACACGTTAGTGCATTGCTATGATTAGAAATACCGAGGCGCAGTTCAAATAGTGGAACAGCGTTGGACGTCGGAGAAAATGATTCTGGCGCATCTGTCGAAGCCATGACGGTACAAATTACACGTTCCTTGTCGGATAAGCTTTCAGATTGATGGCCATCCTTTACAGTCAGGGACTGTCCGATTAACAGTGACGGCTCAAGCAGGTTGTCGCGAAAAATTTCCTGTTCACGAAATGACATTAGAATATAGAGTATTTCAACACATATGTACTCCAAAGTACCAGAAAGTGGGTTGTCAACACAACCCGGGGTCTTCCAGTTGCGAAATTGTGTCTGGCAAGATAGTTGATGATTGAGCTCTAGGATACGCCAATAAGAAGAAAAATAAGTGCCAACAATTCAAGTTGTTCAGCAAAAGTTACATACCAGCAAAGCAATGCCATCGAGCTCAGCCGTTCCTTCAGAATATTAGCATTAGCTCAAGTTACTCACTCAGGCGTCAGAGTTACTAAACCTTTTCCAAACTCGTCAATCAAGAACAGCGATCGACCGTCGCCCTGATTGAGCATCCATGCCATCTAAAAGAAAAAAACATATCAATAAAGACCCATTGAGATAAAGCTGGCTTCTTTCCTTGTACCTGGTTGCAGTCGATCGTGAAGGAGCTCTGTGAAACTGTAGCGGACTCCATGCTTAAACTTCAGGTAAGCTCTTATATGTGTGTATGATATCTTGGACAGCCAGTCTTACCTCTGGATTCTGGTGAAAACTTTCGTAACTAGCCCTATCTCCGCTGCAATGTTTCGTTAGGGCCTTGAGCATTCAGAACAAGTTTACTTATGACACTTACCTTTGTCCGCTGGCACAAAGGATCCAATTTGAGCCATGTATTGTAGAAGACCAACCATTTTCAGATACACGGATTTTCCTGTTCGGTGTAAGTCATGGTTAAATGTCTAGTTGGTGCCGTTACGAGACGCATGTTGTTTTGCCCACCTGATCCGTTTTGTCCCGTTACGATTTTCAGTGAGTCACTAGAATCGAGTAAAATATCGTTGGGGATGTAGTGCTCCACTAGCAGCTCCTGAAGAGGATGGCGAGCTTGAGTCGCCTTCAACGTGTTGCTCTCCGTTATCTTGGGACTAGAAGCAAAAGTGAGTTCGGATTGTAAAATAAGCTTTATTCGTACGCCGTACCGAGTGAAATTGAAACTTTTTGCGCAGGATGCGAATGAGATCAAGCAATCGAGATACGACATGATCCAAGTCATTTCTGTCGAAGAGAGCAATGTCAGTCTTGCTACTTCAGTACGTCAACGACGTGGTTGTTTACCATTGATGCTACCCTCGTACTCTAGTAGTGCCATCGTCAATTCTTCCAGGAGCTCTGTAAGGACAGATTGTTAGCGTTAAACAATTCTGTATATCGTCTATTTAAAGTAGTACCTCTTTGCGCGTCCAGAATGTAACCTACAGTTTCACACGAAGTGTTAGTAGTCAGAAAGAAAAAATAATTATCCAGATTATTGCACCATAGATGTCTCCTATCGACTCGTCCAAATCGCGGCAGCAAGCATCCTACACGAGCCGGTTACGAAAAGTGAGCATTCCATGATGGAATGTAGCACTAACACACGCAGTCACCTTGTAATAAAATGTTGTGTCATCTTCCTGGAATTGAAACACGAAGTCCGGTAGCGTTGTGGGGGATTCGCAGCAGATGACATACCCAACTTGAGGAATGTACTGGACTGTGATCGATGACAGAATTGGATTGGCCTCTTGAACCTGAAATGCTACCTCCGTCAAAACCTACGTACGTAAAAGTCAGTATACATGCCTCTACCTCGCCATTCTCTCAACGTCGTACGTTGTCAAGATCTTCATAGCGTTTTCGTGCCGCGTCCAGCTCTTCCGACACACCACTTCGAATAACCACTGTGCTTTCTTGTTGACTCTCTTCGAAGTCCACTACATTTCCCAGCAAGTTGCTAACGTGGACGATACCACGCTCTTTTAAGATCCTCGAGAAGAGATTAGGCGATGACATATTACTTGTTTCGCTGATGCCTTCGATAATGGACCTACCGTGAGCAAATATTACGACACTTAGTAACAACATCGTAGCTATAGCAACCATATGTACTTACTGTATTTCCAAGAAACTCCCAATGGAGGCGGCAAATCGGCACCAGTCACCAACCGAAGCACAGCGCCTTCTAATGCGCTGAAAAATACCAGCCGCATCTCTAAATTGTTTCAACTTTCCAGACTACACCTTATTAGATCCTGCAAACGCTTTAATAGCCTTTATGTGAATAGTAGTACCAATAGTTGTCGAAGTTCATCATTCTCAGCATCCACGAAGAACGCGACGGAATTATGGCGTTCGTCAATTTGGACACTGCTAACAAGCGGAGTTAGCATCCAGCGGCGCAACATGCTGCCGCCGGATTTAGTTACGGTGCGGTTGAGAAGTCCAAACAGACTACGAGAGAAAGTATCATTAGCAGATTTTCCAAAAAAAGAATTGTAGTTCAAGTAAAACATAACAGCACCTAAAGCCTTCTTTTGCTCGACCAGATCCCTGTAAAATAACATAAGTTGAGTGGAAAGGAATGCAAGCAGCGAGTGCATTACTTTACCTTGACAAGTGAAGGATGTGCTTCCTGCAAGACAAAGACTTAAATGAGTACAAACAGAGAGACTTATCTCAAGCCGGCCTACATGGTTAAATATCTGAAGGGACTGCAGCGTGGTCTTGTCGATGTACATGAACCCGTCGAGCGCAACTTGCTCCACCGATGAAAAAAATACGGATTCCACGTCATCTAATTGATTTCCGGTCTGCGCGATGTTAGTCGAGTGGTTACAAGAAACATCCCAGACAACTCCACCTACCTTTTCGGTGGACAAGTAGAGCAGCAACGCTACAAAATATAAAAGTCAAGATTGGTACATGACAGAATGAAGCAGCACACGTCTTACCACCAGTAGCGCGAATCTGCTGCGTGCTCTTAAAATCAAAGAAGCTTCCTAGAAACGCGTAAGATTCCCGTCTGTCCGACAACGTTTTCAGTTTACCGATAACGTTTTCTGTCTATTTAAGAGCGATGCATACCTTAACGAGCGTGCTTGAGGTTTCCTGAACTCTGCAGGAGCGTCCCCGATCTGGACATGCTCAATTGCTTGGCTGCCTTTTGAGTAGCTGAAATCTGCTTGGCAAAAGCGGCATTGTTCATTCACAATGAACGAATACTCTCATTTTACTCATCACTCTTCCACCTGAATGCTATAAAACCCCATATTTGTCAGCTGTATATAATTTTCAAAGTATCACCAAGAGCTCAATATGCAGGTCCAAAATTACCTTTCGGACGCTAATCCTCGTCTTTGTTTGCAGTTTTTCATCAAGTTTCTTGAGCATTCGAAGCATCCCATTTGAACTGGCATTCCTAGAGGAAACTAGCACGTAATTCACTTCGAATTGTGTATGCAGGCGCTCCAGTATCTGGAGAGTACGCATTGTTGCAGCATGGATCAGACTTTTAAACTTTGCAAATATTAACGAACAACTGCTTCACCTCTTCCAGCTCTTGTTGATCGGCTATTGGAAGCTGCAGTGTCTTCAAACTTGTCGTCAATGCGTTATAAATCGCAACACCCAGTTCTCCTTGGTCGAATAGAATCGACATGAAAACCAGCTCTTCGTCCTCGGCATCAACGTCACCTACGTCAGGCAAATCCGCTTCTCTACGCTCCTGCTCAGCTATCGGTAAGACTGGGTACTTTAATCCTGATGCAGTCATCAAAGAATACCTGGGCTGGAAGTCTTGGCATCTTGTTACCAAAAGTGCGCAATGCGGAATGAAGAGGCGAGAATGATGGTCGTAACTTCAACATATTCACTACAATAGGTTCAACAATTGGTTTAATGGGATTTTGGAGTGGTAGACACACACTAATTCATTCCGTGCGTCAATCAATCCATCAAGCATGGTACACCCAGGCAAACGTGTTGACGACCGCCGCGGCACCGGAGTATTGACAAATTATGTTGTTGGTATTACAATGAACTACTACAGGCAACAGCACAGATATCAGAGAACCTTATTACACTCAAAGGATCGACCGAGATCGTGACAGAGTTCTTTTCGTACAGTATCAACACGTACGAGTTGATACTGTGCTCTTGTTGATATGTTATTGTCATATGCTAACAGTTTCTTTGGACTGACACGCAGCATTTTGTACCAGCGTGGTATCTATCCTGCAGAGAGCTTTAAACAGGTTCAGAAGTATGGCTTGAACATGTTGATGACGGACGACGACAAGCTTAACGACTTCTTCACCAAGTTCCTCCACCAGCTGTCGAGTATGTATAGGCATGTATTGCGCTTGTGATATTGCGCTTGCCTAATCACATTGTCATGATATGCGCAGATTGGATTATCAAAGGTGAGGTGCAGAAACTGGTGCTGGTCATTACTGGGATTGAGACACAAGAAGTGCTGGAGCGGTGGGCGTTCGAGGTTCATTCGGAGAACGGCACAGACGATAGGTATATTTACAGCATGCTTCACTACGGATAAGACCTATTTGCTGATACAAATGTATTATGCTTTGTTTGAATTAGTAGCGCAACTTCTTCTAAGTCTAAGAAGGAGATCATGGCCGAGATACAGGCAATCATCCGGCAGATCACAGCAAGCGTGTCGTTCTTACCTCTTTTGGAAGAGCAATGCGCGTTCGATCTGCTGGTATACACTGACAAAAACTCGGAAGTACCTGCATTATGGGAAGAATCGGACCCCCGCTATATTAAGGACTCGGCGGAAGTGCGTTTGAGATCGTTCTCCACAAAGGTGCGCTTTTTACCGTAAAGTTTATTTGGGGTCTTCATTCAACTAAGTCGCGTAACTTGCTATGCAGGTTCACAAAGTCGACGCGATGGTAGCCTACCGGAACCCTGAAGCTGACATCTAAGCATCTCGAATTGCAGCGATCCAGCTTCTTGTCTGCTCACTGCTTCTTGTCTGCTTATTGCTTCTTGTCCTTTTGAAAACGCGACAGAACGGTCTCGATGTCCTTGACAAAGTTGTCCTTGCTGAAGTACCCGTCCTTATCAAAGTAACGTCCAACGTACAGCTCCTCCTTTTTCTGCTTCCCCTTCGTGTCAGCGTAATGAATCCTCATGGTATAGTGCGACTCTGTGTAAGGGAACGACGTTCGCACCAGAATGGTCTTTCCAGCTGAGCCCTGCATATCAGTTCAATACATTAACAAAAATGTATCTTAGGACAAGGTAAAGCAGATTCGTACCACTCGCGTCATCCGCAGGAGAATATCCTTCTCAATGAACGTGGTGTAGATAACCACGAGCGCCTGAATGAAGAAAAACCTGCACAACCATATACATTTCATCAGTAAAATTTCTGCAACATCTATACACATTCACCCATAGATTACCACTCACCCTGCCACACAGGAGTAGACGAGCACGTGTTCGGGAATAGCAGGATGCTTGTAGAAATGCGACATGGCCGCAATGATCGTTGCCACCAGCATAAGCAGCATTTTCGCATTATCCCATTTGTAATGAAGCTTAAAATCCTCTTTCTCCTGAAAAAACTCTACGACGGTATCATCCAGCATATTCTTAACGGCGTTCTGATCACCTGTCTCAATGTGGAGGTCTGTCCGAGTTCACAGCAATCCTTACGTCAGAACGCAGCACTACAAAGCAATTACCACCGTGAAAAAAGCACGTACCATTCAGCACCATTTCACCTTCCGATTCCTTGCTTTCTGGCGCGATGGCAGTGCTGCTTGAGGCACCCATGATAGCACCGATGTCCTCAGTTGTCCAGTTGATCTGCTGATGTGGCACTTTACGCTTAAGATTCCCAGTGTAAAGCATATACCTATACGAAAGCATACTGAATTAAAATCAACCGGGTATGCGGTATGCCGTCTGATAAGTTTTATATGCTGAAGACTGAAACGCAGCCATTTACAGTAATAGCTTCACCAAGAGGCAACATACAGCAACGACGGATCTGGTGGCCAACGTGATGGCCAAAGCAAAAGTTTCAAGCGAGGAAATCAAGCGTAAAATGAAACGGTCACAAGTCACGTCATGATGCTGTAGTATCTTCCGTTGACTCTGCTGGACAAGCTGCAGCCACCACATCAAGATCACTTGCGTCCGATGTGGTAATGCCCAAGTTGCAGTCGCCAAGTCCCAGTACACGAGGTTCGTTCTGTCTCGTCCATGCCGCCAATAAAGGGCTCATTATATCGTGTGTATTGAAGCGTGGCTTAAACTGTTGTGTACATTCCTATTGATTATAGGAGGCCCAAAGCCATCTCCAGCGAGTAGATACGACAGTTCATTAGGACTGCTGACCAAGAGGTTTGTGGAGCTGATCCAATCTGCTCCATCAAAAGATTTGGATTTAAACACGGCAGCAGAATCGCTTGGTGTTCAGGTATGAAGTGTTCAGGTTGTTGCAATTGCTGAGAGAATTATCATTACAGTGTGTTTGGTCGCTCTGACTTGTAATGACTGTTGGTAGAAACGACGTATTTATGATATCACAAATGTGTTAGAAGGCATTGGTCTTATTGAGAAGACGTCCAAGAACAATATTCACTGGAAGCACGTGAAATGAAATTAGCCAGATTTGTTCTAGTAGCTGCGATGTCATTGTTCTAACAGTGATCTTGCATTTGCTGATAATGATTATTATACAGAGGTGCTAGTGGACCTACAAGTACATCTGATAGCTGTGAAGGAATGGACTACCTTCGACAAAGCATAGCAGATCTTAGGCAAGAGGAGCTCAAATACGACCAGCATATCAAGATGGTCAATCAGAGTATCCGACGTCTGTATGAAGAAGAAGCGTTTGACAAAGACAGTCTTGATAACTTTTGCTATGTCACACACGATGACATGAGACGGGAAGAGAGCTTTGCGGACCAAAGTGTGATGGCGATTAAGGCCCCGCCTGGGACAACACTTGAAGTACCTGACCCTGACGAGGGTATGCCTGCCGGAAAACGCCGATTTCAGGTCTTTCTCAAGTCTACAGGTAGGAGAAGCTGCAACTTTTGCAGTTTGTCCTTTCGAGTCCATTGCGGTATCGTTCTTATTGCTGCTCTTCTAGATGGACCCGTGGATGTGTATTTAGTTCGACGAATGGCTGATGAAAAGGAGGCCGAGGACACCAGGATTTCAGAAAAGGAAGCCCAAGACCTTTTAGCTTATGATAGCTCTGTGCCTTCTATGAACCAGGTAAGCTAGTCTTGACGCTTAACTAATCCACATAGGTGCCAAGTGTTAATGTCGCCGGTTGTCTTTTCATAGCAGAGATCATATGACTCGGACAGCGATATCTTCAAGCTCGCGCCGCTAAAGGTATCGAAAACTTACGTCTTCTGTATACAACTTGAGACTAGCTGATCATGTTGTGGTCTGTTAACACTTGTGCTGTTATGAGTAGACTGATCCTGATTTCTACTTCAATCTAGATGATAGCGAAGGCATCTCGGACTTTTTTGCGGGTATTCCGTAAGGTAACATGTGGCGGCCTCCACACTGGTGCACCATGTTAGCAAAGCTCCTTTGGCCTAGCTTCTGCCGCGGGTGACGACGGACGAGTCCATTCGTATAGCGATTAGCAGGCCATCTCTTTTATTTAATCCTGCTAATTTAGTGGGTTGACTCTTTTGCTGGATGAGAACCACGACTTTAAAAGCTGTTCAGCACCATTTTGACTCAATCGATTAGTCGGGTGTGACAGCACAAGCACGAGTGCCTGACGAACCAGCAGCAATCAAAAAAGGCGTTAGACTGTACGCTTCTTGTTGCAATACGCATTATTGAAGCGTACCTGATGCAACCTCTCGACTGATCCGCCGACATCCAAGAAGTAGAACTTGACCAGTGGGTTTGTGCTATCATACAAGCAGAGTTGATCGAATACACTCTGAGGACATGGAAGCAACGTGACTACCGGTTGAGCTAATGTAAGTTGTGCCAATGGACGTACTTGCGCTATCTCTAGCGGGACATCTTGATGCCAGTAGATGATGTCCAGATGACAAGTTGGTTCGTTTAGAAACCCAACTGGGACCTCTCTGTGCATGATGTGAAGCTGTGGGTTCTGCAGTGCTTACGAGCAAGGTTATGATTTGCTACATACGCTGTAACATCGACAGCGAAAAGCAAGTGGCTTCGTACCTGTTTCACCTGTCTATAGATTAGCAACAGACGAAAGGACGAAGTAGCTTGGCACTCCTACGATATCATTCACAACGATAGCAACTGTCAGCACTCTTCGTCATCGCAATGTAATAATCCTTCCAACCATCTCTCGCTGTGCGCCAAAGTAGCGAAGAACATCATCAAAAAGTGCATCCAGGTCCACTATGCCGTCGTCATCAACTGAGCTGAGAACTCCTGGCACTGCTGCCACAAGAGCATCAATATCTCTCGTAAACTTTGCAATGAACATATTGCAGTCTCATCAGCTACTAACGACTATACCAAGCTCACTCAGTCAAAAAAAAACTTTACCTCCTGCTCAATGACAAGTCGCGATCCCTGCGCTTTAGCAAGACTTATCTGGTGCTACGATACCACACAACAATGACGTTGGCAGCCAGTGAGCTACGTTTATTCTTCCGCATGCTGCATGTTTCACTCACATAACCACCCATTTGCATCTTAATGCGAATGATCTTCCGAACTGCTTCCTGCAGTACTCGTGTGTCGACATCCTGCTTTACATCCACCCCACACAGGCAGATCATCTACATGTACCAAACAAAGAAGTTGTATGATTTACTACAAGCCAAGTGAAGTGATACTATAGCCACGAATAACATTAACATACAACATGTTCATTAGCAAGCGTTAGCTGACGAAAAGCTTGTACATCGTTTAACGTCGGAGTGACTTCCATGTATGGTCTCGCAATTACTAAAATGCCGATTTCGTTGTATCGGGATGTAAGGAAAAAGAGAAGACACAAAAATGGTCGAGCGTCTTTTGTTGGTTCACATTTGTTGCATGTCCAAAGAAGTGATGCTGTCGGGTAAGGCAGGAAGCGTGAAGTAAAAAAATATACATAGCTAATGGCTATTCCTTGACCAATTAGTTGGGCCTATTACTCATTGCAAGAGCAGTGTATTTCATGCCGACACCGGCAAACTTCTTTTTCCGCTCTTCCGCTTCTTGTTTTCGTTGTTCCAATTCCTGTGTGCGTTTTGCCCAGTACACTTGCTTCTTTGCACGATCCTCAACCATTTTACATAACTTCATCCCAGACTGCATCTCTTCCTCCGTCTCGTCACTTGGATTGCTCTTCTCACATATCATCTGTAAATGGGTCACCTGCGCCATCACCGTCATACACAGCTATCGTAAAAATCTTTGCAGACTCAGTAGTTTGTTCGTGCCAGATATAAAGAAATCAAGGGCGGATGAAACACACCCAAGTATCACGAATCTCTCCCGATTCCGCTTCAACATCCAGTACCACGTCGCCATTGGGAGACGTAACACTGAATCCAGCCTCGCCTAAGTATAGATCCACAACAACAGTGTAAGTAATTCCCAACACTCTCATTTCCTACAAATTACCACCATGTACCGTGTGCCTGTACCGACTTAATCGAGTGCAGATCGATCGTCGTCACGTTCTTGATCGAGTCGTGCAGCTTCCACAACAGTCTGATCGTCCATCAACGTTTAATACACAATAAGAGAAACAATAAACTACCATAAATCACGTGATTCCAACATACGTGTGTCCATCTTTATCTAATTTTACGTGGACTCGCTCCGTTGTCGTGGTCAGCCCCAGAATCGTTTTCTTTCGCTTAAAGTAGGCACCTGCAGTACAAAAAACGACTAAGTAAGACAACACGTATATTGTACACTCATATAGTAAGTTATACGCCACCTTTTTCAAGTATTAACAGTCTCTGCGTTCCCTCTTGCCGCGTCTGACATTGTGCCAAGCAATTGAGCTGATTCCCCATCAAGTTATTACAAAATCTGAAAATGATACTTTTACCCAATGATAATTCATATGAGACAAACGTATGTCTGAAGTTGTTTACATTTATAACGTATGAGGGTGCAGTAATCGCGTGGATCTGCATTAGTGTATAATGGACTTGTTTTAGCAAGTAGCTACATACTCAGATCTGATAATTCGTGAGAGTGTTGTATCCGTCTTCTTGGAGATATGCCGGTGACTGCAAGTAAGTGCCGTCCTGTGAGCCGCCTCAGTGTTGTAGCCTAGTGGTTACCGCCGTAAGTACTGGATAAAGCTTTTGTTTGGCGCGATGGAACGGTTGACACTTGGAGCACCTTGTAAGCGTGATGGAGATGATCAACGAGATATCAAACTACGCGATAAACATGGTGTTTGGTGAAGAAGAATATCATGGCGGCAAGGGACTGTTGGAGAGAGATGTTTTGGTTGGAACGATGCCAATTGATGGTTTGGATGTTTTGCTTATATGTAAAAACCATTACTTGATGGTCAAACTTACAGTGCTGCAATTGCTGGCGTGTACACTTGTGTTGGCACTTCAAACCAAGAGCAACTTGAACATTGTGATGAAATATTGTCCTGGTGGAGAGCTGCCCATGCATCTAGAGCGAGCTATAAAGTCTACGAGAGGTAATTGCATTTTTGTGCTGCTGAGTTACTACTCGCAGTGCAGCAGCTGCATCAACATGGCTCTTTTCACTGTGACGTGAAAGCCGAAAACATGTATGGACATCACAACTTGTAGAGTTTGGTATCAGCAAATTTGGGGCACTCGCGGGCAAAGTCGATATGCGGTCGATACAAGTACCAAAACGGATGATGGGATCACTGCTTTGTTGTTGGGAGGTCACATGCGGCCAGTTCCCCGTCGACATGGCGGTAAAAGACGTAATCTTTAATCTCTGGGCCATCCTGTTCTTCTGAGCCTTCTTTCTCATCGGGGTTCCTATCTAAAAAACAAATCTATGGCTTCTGTTGATACAAATCCTTACAATAAAAGAGGTGTTTGAACGACACGCTTATGCATCTCGTCAAAGTGTTGACGATAATCATGGTGGAAGCTTTGTAAGTACTTCGTGCAGCACCGCTCCAATCGCCCACCATTCTGCAGCAGTCTCCTTTCAATTTCTCAAGAGCTACCGCTGCAACAATAATCCAACATCAATCACAATTGCGAGAGATCCAATCTTTGATTCAGTCTAGTGTTTCTCCAAACGATCGTATGTCTCTGCTTGTTCATTTTGTAGCAAACTCTTTTACTGGAAAGCAACATTTTGCAGACTACGCCTGCTTCATGCTTTCGATGGTGAACATATTAACAACTCTGTTAGGCGGCGCAACAGTCACCAAATCATTCCATAGGTAACATCTCCACTACGTTGGTTATGCTGTGTCTTTAGTAGACGATAAACCGCAACGGTGCAAAATCCTGACTTGACCTTGTTTGGTGCTTGGCATTCGCCAATTGCTGTCGAAAACGACGTCATTTGGCGAGATGCGTCGGTAGAATCGTATGTGGCAGATGACACCTGTTAACGTATGTTTTAACAGATACAAAGTAGAGTTTATGTCGCTTGAAAGGATACATGTCGAATCAATTATCATGTGTGGTTCAGTTGTCTGGTAAAACGGTAGTATCTGGCCTAGACTATTCTAGGAATACCATTGCAAAGCAACCTATTGTTCCAGGTACTCATGCGGAAGACCAAGTCGCAACAAGCAACCGTAAGCTAACAAGGGGATCGATAACATTCATATCATTTGACGACAACGATGGCCATCCGTGGTAGCTCCCTCGACGGCCATTATAGCACGACGCAAGTGGCCTTTAAGCACTAATTCACGTTTGTGACGCGACTGCGACGCTGGCAAGTTTCCATATCATACTTGTCTTTTTAGCGGTAGGTAGGTATTTTTAACAAAACAAGTCACCCACAGCGACAACAGAAACTGGTATCGCTGTACGGTAACGACATGTAGCACATTGGCGGACAAAGAATAAATTTGAATAGTTTAATTGAATGTAATTCTCAAAAGATTGGTATATTCAGCAAATGCTTCCACAGTAATCACGCTGCTTCGGCTGACAGGCAGTTTTAAAGCACTTGGCTATAGACCTGAATATTGCATCATTTCCTGTTTGTAAAAGCCCATTGGACTTTTACAGGTAAGGATTACCAACTGATGAGTGGTTAGCCATCACTACCATCGGACATATCTATACCTTAGTCAGTACCCTCACGCACAAATATTAATTTTAAATATCGCTTTTCAACAAAGAAAACGATTTGTTTGTTTTGACTGTAAGTACTTCCAAGCATGGGAGCACAATACGACATCGCTACGGACTTTTCTATTTGGCAGCCTGCCAAGAGCGAAGCGTTGAAATATAACACTCGGGTGATCAGGACTTTGAGAATTAGCATAATCAATAACTATTTTTTATTCTTGTCTAGAGCTTGTGCAGCTTTCATTCTCAGTAAACTTGATAGGCATTCAGATACATGTACTTGCTTCAGTGACAATGATTCAACGCCATTGGATCGATGTAGCCAAGATGCAGAACGAACAACGTCAAGTCTTCATATGCCCTTATGAACTGGACATAAAATAATATTAAACTCTTATATTTGCTCCTCTCACGCACACTCCTTTTGCTAGGTAAGTCGCTACGCATTCTGTGCAATTTGTCTGACCCTCATACCTTCCTGCTATTGCTGTTTTCTGTGTGTTCATAGTCGCGTTTTGACGTTGCAGCCCACGAGCCATGTAGCAGCCATGGGAAAAATACATGAGTGCTTCATTGCCACGATTACAGGTAATGTTAATGCTCGACAGCTATCAAAATCCAGCGAAACAGTGTCGCCCTTGCGAAGTCACTTCAACTTCATACGATGTCTTCTCACTCCACATTTAGTACGACTACTACCACCCATGGACAACATCTCATTATTTCAGACCAAGTGAGAGCCTCTACCATCCGACAAGCTTCTCTTCGTTTCAAACTTTCATCTCCAGTCTTTTCTCCGTCCTACGTATTCCTCCAGGGCTCACTTCTGTTGGCTGCACTATTACTATTCGTCTGCTGGTTATCGGTGGCATGCGACGATAAGCTCGCTTGCTCGCACCATTGATGCCTCACTTAGTGGCATTTCGACATCGTTTGATGTCGACAAGGAGGATAACAAACTCCGCATATTGTTTCAAATATGTCGATCTACGGGCAGCCACGTGCAGGTCTATATTACTCCACTCTTCTGACCACGCCATCGGTCCAGCAAGCCGACTCTTGGGCCTATTCTTGAGATTCGTCGATAGCTTCCTTGTCGTTGCATGGCACTTCAATCTAGTCCGTGACTGTAAGACTCTTTTACTGATGAGCTACCGGACGATATCGAGGCTACTGTTAGAAACGATCGTTTTTTGACAGGTTGCAAGGTGTTGAAGGCAAGGGTTATACCCTGTGCCGGTAAGTTGCGACCGCACCCGAAATGGCTAATGTTGTGACATCTTAACAGATGTGGCGAAGCGGGATAAACGAAGACTACAGACTAGACATGGTATAGTTGCAGTTGACTCTACCGTACATGTTAAAGCACTAGCGAAGGAGAGTAGTTAATGCTTAATATATTTTACTTTTACTTCTACCTCTACGTGCACAAGTGCATCACTACTTCACTTCGCTCTTACAGCTACATTCAAGATCATCTGAGCACCAAGCTGGAAACATCGTAAGCTGTGCCGATTTGTCCGTTCTAGCAATGGTGATCCAGAACATTTTGATTGAAACCTTCCATTGGAATTGCAGCGACTTCCGATGATATCGAGAAATGCTCGACACTTGGGGTTACAAGCTGTGTTGATTTCAATCATGGGGTGAATGGTTTGCTACAGCAGCGTTGCACGCTCATCACTGTACGAGACGCCAAAGCCGCCACTCCACCCACATCTCGAGAGCCCGACACGTATTGTCTTGGCAACTGCAGAGAGTTTGGCACTGCTAGATCGCATATATATAGTACATGTAAGCGCATGGAGATCCCTTCGTTACTTCCGTGCTTCATCTCCCTGCAGCAGCAGGTTTACAAGCATTCTCTATGTCTGTAACGAGTTTAGCTAGTACGCAAGAACACATTCGAGTTCCTTCGAGCTCACTCGCTGCTTGATCCTGTCATGAAGTACAGAAGCGCGAGGAGGTATAATAAATTCCTAAGAAAGAGTTCGTGCACTGCCAGGGCTAATCTCACTTAATGCGTAAAATGGCTAGTAGTAGCAATACACTAAAATGGTACAAGGATAAAAGTTTCCTACTTGTTGACAAACAGACCGAGTTTTTTATTTTCCCGCCAAATATAAAACCGTAATTTTTACGTTAAGAATACAATGAACGCATACAATATAACAATAGTGATACTTTACACATGTTACAAAAGACCGTAAGTTATTTACCTATACAAATATCAAGTGAAAATTGAGAAGGTGCGTGCTTTGACCAGAAAAAAAAGTTTCGAAAACGCAGCACGAACCGTTCCAAGACTGACTTTTATGCCGTCGTCGATAGAGAGCGAAACGCGTCGTACGAAGGCGCGTCACCTTCGACGTGAAGCTGCTGCACCGTATTCTATGTTGAAGCACGAGAAGGGAAAGGAAAGTGAAGTCTCTGGTCGAGGAACGACGCATGCACGTGGGGGCGGATTTTTCTCCCGTCTGGCGACTTATATTCCCATAGTAAACAAATTAATACAAGACGAGGACGTTGGAGGGGGAAAAGATCAAGTGGAATTGGTTAATGAGAGCTGTGATGAGGTCAAGACGACGCAGGAAGAAGAGGACGACGAGGAGGAAGAGCTGGAGGAGGAGGAGAAGAAGAAGGGTGGAGAAGGAGGAGGAGGAGACTTCATCTGCAGAAAAAGGAGACTCTAGAGACCTCTGAGAGTCTGTACTCTGAGGCTGATGGGCAGAAGAAGATGCTAGAGGATGATGACATGATGGACACCTCTGTGTCGCCAAAAAGTCGTGCGTCGTCGTCCTTGGGTACGGACAAGGTGCAAGTAACGATGTCTTCTAGACAGGTCAACGACAAGAAAGAATCGCAAGTGAGCTCTTCCTCTTGTGAGAGTAATACTGAGAATACTGGACGCAGTCCACCGTTGATGCCGCCATGGCGGAAACGTGGCGATAAGAGCATGTTACCCCCTGGACCATCGCAACCCATCACTCATCGGCGATGGAAAACAACCTCTGCGTCGCCTCATGAATCGGCATTGGGCGTGATTAAGGACAAGAAGACCATTACACTTGAAGAGTATGAACGTCTTCAGCATCAATTGTTTGAAATGGTGGAGACGACGCCCCAGAAGCAGTTGAAGATGACACAAAGTGCTCTGGCCAACGGTCTCGAGCACCCGTTCACGCGGGGATTCCCTGGTCCGACGTCGTTTCCAGGCTATGTGCCTGGCTCCAATGCAAATCAGAATCATGGCGCCGCAGCCGTTCAGGACGAGAAAAAACGTGGATCTGAGTATACAGCGAAACAAAGCGAGACCTTTAGCAAACGTCCTAGGAATCATGAGAAGGAACCAGTTTCCGTCTCGGGAACCACTTTGCGCGGAAAGATGACGCCTGAGGAACGCCTTCATCGAAAGCCGCGTCCCTCGCGACTTTTGACTGGAACCAAGCGTAATATCTCTGCGCGCTACGCGTACTCTGCTGCTGTTGCGGAGACGATTCTGTCGACGCTGAACAAGTTGCAGAGCCCACTGGAGCAAGAGGCACAGAAGCCGACGCCTTCTACGGCGACGATGTGGGCGAAGTGTCATTCAGCGGTTGTGGATGGCCAGAAGAACAGCTCTAGCAACGAAATGGAGATTGACAGCGATGACGTGCCCCCTCCGACAAGTACAGTTCCTCGCGTGGCATTCCCACAGCCACAGCCTTCAAAGAAACTTGCTGATTTGTCGTTTGGCAGCACTCCAAACACCGCGTTCGAGACGCCTCCAAAGAGCGGTAATACTGTGTCGAACGGTGTGACCTCGTTGTTCTCGCCACAGGCGGTGGCTATGACCCCTGCACCCATTGCCAAGACATCCGCACCGGAGCAGCCACAGTTCGAGACAACCGGCGAGTTTAAATTCACGCTTCCGGTTCGTGTCAAAGAAGTGAAGCAGGCAGAAGCGGACGACGAAGATACCCGTGTTCGATTTGTGTTTTCTCCTCCGCTTAGTATGCTCGAGCCACCTGTGAGGATTTCCAACCAAAGGAAGGCTAATAAGGATGGCAGCGCACCTGCTCCGTTTGACTTTATGCCATCATCACCCAAGATGAAGGCGACTGCGTGGGTGGCTAAGCCATCAACGATGAAAGAACCCGAGGAGCGGAAAACCGACTCAAAAAAAGCTATCGCGGCGGAGACGGCCGAGGAGTCTGTTGCTGGTTCGACGGCAGCGGCAGCGGCACCTACTGTTTCTCTTAATAGTGGTGTGAACCCACTTGCCAGATTTATGCAGCTGAAACCTGGACAGTGGAAGTGTCCTGGATGTAGCGTCTTAAACGAGGCCACGAGTGCCAAGTGTCCATGCTGCGAAACGACCAAGCCTGGAGGCGGAGTCGCAGAAAAGACTTCTTCTGTGGCGCCGAATGCTTCTGAAGAAATTTCGTCAAGCGATTTTAGCCTTGGTCTGGCCTCCGTGGAGGCAAAAAACGGTTCTGACAAGTCGGTTGCTGGCTCAATCACGGAGAGTGGCTTCTGTTTTGGGGCCCCGTCTGTGGAATCGAAGAAGGATACCGAGAAGCCTGCTGCGTTGATGTCATCTAGTGGTTTTACTTTCAGCGCGCCTGCGGCTAGTGCGACCACCAATAAGTTTGCCGCGAAAATCACGTCGGATGGATTCAGTTTTGGAGCCCACGCTGCATCGGAAAAACCTGTTGTTGGAGACGTAGATTTCGGTACCGCTGCCGAATCAAATACGAGAGCAGATTCTTTTGCAAGCACTGCTCCGATCTCATTTGGATTCTCGGCTCCTGTAGAAAAGGCCGGCGAGGCATCAACGAAAATGTCTACTGGGATCGGGAAGGCTGTTCCTGCTTCGTCTTTCTCTTTTCGCGTACCGGAAGCATCGGAACCTACTTCAGACCAAACATCGGCGACTACAAAGTCAAGTAGTGTCTCGAGTGGGTTCGCATTTGGCGTCACTGGTGCCAACACTGCTGATGGCACTAGTACGGGCAAGCGTAAGGCACCAGAGGCCGAAGTATCGACAAACGGTTTTGCTCCGTCGTTCAACTTTGGGGCAACCACGGCTACGAGCACTGAAGCACCAAAGGCGAACACTGCGACTGGTTTTAGTTTTGGCGTGGCTACGGAGCCGAAGAAGGCGAGCCCGGAGGAGTCAGACCGTCCGACGAAGCGTTTGGCTGCGTCCACAACCGCGTCTGACTCAAAGCCTGATGCATCGGCTTTTACGTTTGGTGCGGCTTCGAAGCCACCTCAGGTGCCTGCCAAGGAATCCGCCGAAACACCGTCGTTGACACCTTCGTTCAACGTTGGTGAACCTAGCAGCTTAGCAACTACACAAAAACCGGAGGAGAGGACAACTTCTGCCTTCAGCTTTGGTGTCACCTCTACCGAAGAGGCTAGTGTTCCAACGGAAGCAAAGTTTCGGGAAATGATGCCTCCAAAGACTGGTTTTACGTTCGGATCGTCGTCGCCAGCAGAACCCAAACCTACCGCTGGCTTTGGACAACATACAGAATCTGAGGCTCGTGCGTTTTCAGTTGGTGCTTCAGCATCCACTTCGACACCTGCTACTTCGGCGCAAGCTACATCAACATCTGCTTCATCTTCTGCCGGCTTCAATTTTGGCCAGAACACGACGGTTGCAACTAGCAATGCCCCTGCATTTGGCGCCGCGCCTTCTTCTTCTGCATTTGGTTTTGGAGCGTCGATACCGACACCGCCTCCTGCGGGCAAGTCAAGCTCCTCAAATGCAGAGATGTCGTCGGCTGCTGCTTCGACGATGGCGTCTACGTTCGGCTTGTGGTCTGCCAAACCGGAGGGATCCTCTGCGTTTGGCCAGACGCCTGCAAGCACGTCGAGTTTTGGTTCTACGTCGACGGCTTTCGGGTCAAACTCGTCTAATGTGTTTGGATCTGGATCGAACGTGGGAGGCTTCGGTAGTAAGTCTAATGCTGCTCCCTCGACGACGTTCGGTAATTCCGTATCGTCGGCTCCAGCCACATCAGCGTTCTCTTTCGAAGCATCAAGGCAAGCTCCCGCTGCAAGTGCACCTGCACCTACGGCTGCCCAGCCAGTATTTACGTTCGGGGCGTCGAGTAATTCAGCCCCGAGTGGATATGGAGCTGCGCCTGCAGTTTCGAGTGGCCCCAGCGGTGCATTCGGCGCCCCAGTCGGTGGTTTCAGATCTTCCAGCCCTGCGCCTGCCTTTGGTAACCAGTCTGCTCCCGCATTTACCAGCAATCGTCCGCCACTGACGTCCTCGTTTGGTACAGGATTCAGCAGCGGTCCGCCGAGCTCTGGCTTCCCTACTACTAGCTCGACTCCTGCATTTGGTGCTGCCCAAGCTGCTCCGCCTTTTGGCGCCACCCCAGCCCCTCCTTTCGGTACCGCTCCAGCTCCGCCTTTTGGCGCTGCTCCAAACACGGCTTTTGGTGCTACTCCGAACACGGCTTTTGGCGGCACTCCGAACACGGCATTTGGCGGCACTCCAAACACGGCTTTCGGTGCTGCTCCGAACACGGCTTTCGGTGCTACTGCCTCTGCTCCTGGCTTCGGAGCTCCTACCGCCTTCGACGCCTTTGCTGACGGCGGATTCAACATGGGTGTCGCTCCGCAGCACGCCAAGAACAGGCGCATTTTGAAGGCCAAGGTTCGCAACCGGCGAACGTCATCGAAGCGAGAATGAAGAATTAATCGACAATGGAGTGTATTGTTTGATCAATTGTGGTGATAGCGACCATATTACACCGGAGAACCTGACGCATCAGTCAAGCAAGACCCTTGCACGCGCTGGCTGGAGCGACCTGAGAAGCTGGGAAATAATATATAACCGCTTTACTGAGACACCTTCGCGATGCGTTCGCGTTGAAGGCAGCCTACTTTTGGAAATGGAAGATGCGATAAAGCAGCTGCCTGTGATGCAACCTTCTTATTGGACTTGTGAGTGCACTTTTCTCCGCAGGTAGCACAAAGTTGCGGATATGACAGGCCTTAACGACCGATGACAGGCAAAGTGAGCAAGGAAGGCGGTCGTGAGCATCGGCAAGTCCAATGGCTACATGCTTTGACTGCAAATTCTGCTAGTGCACTTTAAGGACATATCATTGTCGATTAACGTTGCAGCGGCATGCAGCATGTTGTCCGCCGCGACGAAGAGCAACACACTCGCAGATAAATGTCATGGACGACATGAAAATCAAGGCACGCGTGGCTCAAGTCGAGCAGCAGTCAGTCGTGGACTACGAAGTAGCCGACAAAAGGTAACAGCAGTGGCTAGAGGTCTTGGCCTGCCCTAAACGATCTGATCTGGCTTAGATGGGACCGTGAAGAAGCAAATGGACGACGATGGTGCTAAAGTGTCATATTCGAGTGCAGATCGATTCGGTTAGTGATCCCTATTCGAGATAGACAGTAGCTTACGGTCACTTGTCTATTGCGTCAAGCTGTAAGTGATGATGCTCCCGGGACAATGTCAAAGCTTTGATTATTTGGTAACACTTCAAAAAGAACAGCCCTGTGTACATGAACTGACCCTGTCACGATTACGAGCTGCACGCGTCAAATGATGCATTGATACTGTACGAAGAAGACCAAGAAAGCAGCGTAGCTTTGCAAAGCCTACCACGACGTCTGAAAAACTTGGCCGCCCGCTACATCTCAAACAATCAGCAGGGAGAAGGAGAAGCAGTCAACAGACACATCGATGAACTTGCCTCGGCGCTGTTGTTTTCGAGCTGTTCAAGTCGCTGGGTTTTGTCGTGAAGCAACTCACGTTCAATCTGCTCATGCTCGTTCTTACGTCGCAGTTGCGTGCGCAGTGTTGGCATTGTTTTCGTGGGAATCTCAATGATCTTGGCGGCAGTCTAAGCGTTGTTATCCGTTCTTCTGCACGAAAGATGACCCTTGATATTCCATCAGTACTGCAGCAGTCTGTCATCAATCTTGGTCACTTCCGCTAGATGTTTCGATAGAAACCTTCGAAAAGGTGGATTCGATGTCATGCAAACTGCCAAGAGCGCAAAGTTCACGACCTGGTTTGAGCCCACAAAGGGTGAGCGCATGGTGCACCATTTCTACGATCACCTACCAGCGCTGTCCGACATCACAATTCCACAAGTACGCATTCACCAAGCCAGCATAGTGAGGCGATCACATCCAGCGAGATGTCGTAGCGCTATATCAAATTTGCACAAAAGCGTATCGACCAACGTCTGATTGCTGTCAAAACGTTGACCAGACAACGTGCGCACTCTTGTGGCAACCGTTGCGACGTTCAAGGCATCGGGCTGGTTGTTGCTCACCGTTGAACTTAACAAAAGCATTTTGATGCGGTTTGATGCGCTTCTCATTGATTTGGCCTTCAATTGGACGGCGGTCTTGATCCCTAGCTTCGTATCTCCTGGTCTTCTTTTTTATCCACTTCTTCTGTTTCTTCTTCGCTATTATCTTCATCTTCGGCACCATTGCCATCTGTGTCTTCTCTGCTGCTCTCAGCTTCATCTTCCTCCTCACTGTTTTCACTCTTTGCAATTTGTGCAGCATTTGTATAAAAGAATTTTCGCCGTCCGCCGTTACTCGACTGAGTCACATGCAGATGCGCTGTGAGGCTTTTTTCAATCTGGTGTAACTTGAACGCGCGCACCTCCATCCCGCTGATATTAATATGTGTTTGTGCCTGGGCACAATCTTCCGAGGTCGGGAACATCAGCAGAATATTCCAGTCCATTAATTTATCAGATGCCGATGCGTCTTGATAATCTTTCTGGTCACTTCGGCAACCTAGTACAGGTAGTGCAGAGCGGACTGACACTTGTAATACACGATCGTCTCGTGCGTCCATTGTGCAGTATGTGCGGTGGATCGGTGCAAACACTTTCACGATACCTCTTTCTTCCTCATCATGCGTATTGCTGTCGTCATTTTGATCGAGAATCTTTTCCACAAGCACAAATGCCTCGGGATTCATCACCATCAATAGTTTCGTCGCCATCAGCAAAAACCGCTGTTCGCGATACATACACTTGAGAGAGACCATACCGTCCAATGACACTGTGCACGAATCCCTTCCACCCGCAGCACTTGCAAATACACTTGTACGCGGGTGACGGTACGCAACAAGCCGCTCCAGTCCGTCATTTACATAGCTTGAGTCCAAGAGTTCGCGCAGTTTCCGCAGCGAAAGAAACACCCGCATAGACTTGCGACACACTTCCATTTGATTTGCGGGGCAGCGCAGCGCTAAGGTGTCCCGTGAACCGGCCCACACCGGAGAGGTCATAGCCTCTTCTTTCTCAAGTGGAACGAGGCACTCAAAAGGTGACGAGGAATCCAGCTGTAACTGAATAGGAAAGCACTTGCGCTGGAAAGTTGCCACCTCTTTTTCTAGCACGTAAATGAATAAATCCACTTCAGCCATTGCGCCACGCATGCTCTCCATGACAAGGTGTGCACTACTTGAGTAAATATCCTTGAGTGTTGCAGTATGCTGCTGGGTAAGAAGGCAATAGGAAGTCGGCATACGTGTGTCCACCATGATATCCACGAGTAAGCGTGCGCACAGTTGCGTGCTAAACAAACGTGAGCTTTGGTTTCGCGCAAGGACCTCCAATATCAACTCGACTAGCCAAAAAGGGTAGGCGTTTGTGCGGCACAATGGATCATTGTCTACTCCAGGAGCACTAGACACTTCATCATCATCTTCGCCCTTTGGTGAAAAATATCCCTTATCGATTTTGTCGATGTTTACATCTTTTCCAGCATCCCCTCGAATTCCTTGCGAGTCAGAAGAATCATATGACGATGACAGGGATGCAATGGCTGGTAGAGCCGAGCTATCGGTCATTGCATTATCATCAGTTTTCTTCTGTTGTGCAGTCTTATCGTGACCATCAGCAATTATCTGCTTATCATCACATTTTGCACGTTTTCCGTAACGATACCGGAAGGGCAACAAATCTAGCTCCCGTAGCAAAGAATGATCTACCGCCTTGTTATTGATAATGGCTATCACAAGCATCACAGCTGTAGATGAGAGTGGCTCATCGCTTGAACAAAGCAATGATAGAAAAGACTGGCGGTAGCAGTTGGTGCTCTGCGGGACAAACGCCTTCACTTCATCGACTGGCCACTCGCCCATTCCAAAACGCGTTTGAACGTAGCACAACGATGACTCGCACGTAGTTGCCGAATGAGGACAAAACACGTGCATCGGAAGCTGTTCCATATTCCACGGTAAAGAAGGTTGGGGAGATAGCTCTCGCGGCGAGTTTTCTGTTGTCACGGTATTTTCATCATCATCGTCGTCATCGCTGTCTATCGATTCCAGGCAATGTGAACTGCTATGTCGCCGTCTTGATCCAGCTCCAAAAGCTATTGCTGAGTATTCACACTTTTCTGACGCATCTGGCGACAACAACATAAAAGCGATAGCATTCACAAGAGGGGCGTGCTCTAAAATGCCTAAAAGTCGAGTGAGCAGGTAAAGCGCCAGCTGTGTCGACACTCGTTGCGGCGGGGGTCCACAATCTGGCAAGATACTAGTCGCCAACAAGCATCTAATATGTCGTGAAAAGAGCAGATCTCCAATTTTATAGCAAAGTTCCGGTACATTCACATCCAATAGATCCTGTAAGTAGAAACAGTGATCAATGTACGCATCCACTGCTTCTTCTAATTTCTCTATGTATGTCATCTTTTGCATTTGTTCGTCTAATGAGGGCCAGTTATTCAGCAGTCCCTGTAGCATCAATGTCAAGTCATTTGCAATCTCTACAATATCCCGAAAGTACTTCATCTCGTCATACTGCAGTACAAACCGGCGTACCCTTGGATCCGATACTTTTAGCACATTAAGTGTCAACGTCTTGACTGCAACTTTTACCATTGTTTCATTACAACGTCCAAATTTCAATGCACGTGCATAGAGTGGAAAATGCAATTCTTCTCCTTGTTGAGTATCCAAGAAAAACTGCACCGTTTCTTCATTAAGTCGTAACGACAACGCTTTCAACAATGTAACATACCAGTCTCGTACATCATCATCTTTGTCTACGGCAAAAGGACACTCGAGAAGACGATTAATGTGATTATTGCTCAAAAGGTAGTACAGTGACGTCCGAGTTGCAATATTCTGGACTAAAATACTCATCGTCTGTAGCAACTGAACTTGAACAGGAAACGAAGGCCGACTCGTACCAAGTTCGACCAATAACGCCAACATATTCGTTTCTCCAAAATAATCGAAAAAAGTCCCTGGATTGTCGGTTTTCTCGTCCAAATCAGCTGCAACTTGATCCTCTAGTTCCATTGACATACGATGTTGGTCGGAATAAATGAGAAATTCTGATAATACACGTAAAAGTTCGACAATTTCAGCGTCTGGAAGCGATTGAAAGTGAATGAGTTGGGTATGGAGCGTTCGCATGTTTCGTAGCGTGAATTCAAGACGACGACCGGATAAAAACACACTTAAGAAACCATTACGATACGTCGTATTATGATTGGATGAAATGGATACAGTCGACGAAGCATGGCTCGAGTTATTCCCCATAATTTACACGAGAAGAGTCGACGATAAATAATAAGAAGAGAAGAAGAAGAACGTTGACTTGTCGTCCCTGTCTATTTCGATAGGATACGTAATAATGAGTTTGAAAGGGTATGTATGAAAAAACGGACGTAAAAAAAAGACGGGGAGGGGTAGAGACAGTGCAAGGACGATGTGTTTTGGGTCCTTTTGAGATGGTATGGACCTATTTTGTTGTTTAGTTCTTTTTTTTATAGGTTGAGGTATATGATTCGCTGAAATGTGTTTTTATTGGAGTTGATTTTTAACGAATCATATCTCGTCTTGTGATAACGTGATTCCGTTCCATTCCTTTGGGCTATAATGTGGTCATCATCCTCGACTTCAGACGTCGATCAGCTGTTTCCTAGACGTCCACGACGCGTTTCCAGTAGCTCAGCACCTTCTTTAACAAGTCGAAGTAGTGCTACTAGTTGTTTCGAGCAGCGTAGGCGCGATTTGCCGCCTCATTCGGTCAGTACAGGCAGTTTATGGGCGTTCAACGGGTCTTCCACACGTTCAGGATCGTTTTACTCGTCATCAGCAGATTCTACAGGCTATCAAGGAGTAGAACCATCTTCTCTAGTAATTGAGGAGCCAAACGAAGGTCTTTCGAAACTTGAGAGTGGCGTCAAAGCTGCAGATCATGGAGTTATTGGGTCGTATCCCAGTGTTGAAACTACGGCCAGAATGCTATGGAATCGACCAGAGAGAGAGGAAGAAGAACGAGAAGAGGAGGCTCTGCCTTCGTATCTTAGCTATCTACAGGCTTCATCATTTACAGGGGACGCTACAGCTGGAGGAATACCGACTACGGCATCTTTTAACCCAGTGACGGCTTTAGACCCGACAAGTGATGATCAGATGGAGACAAAGAGCAAGGAATTGACACGTGCACTGCAGAGCTTTATCTCTATGCAGATACAGGGAGAGGTGTCGACATCGTCTGCACTTACAAAAAATTCTGGAGGAGGATGCAAATGTGAAAAACGTGTAGAGGAGTTGGAAAAGCAGGTAAAGGCATTGTTTGCTGCTCAGAAAGAGGAGAGAAACTCTGCTACAATGAAGGAGACGGGGAATGCTTTAAGTGACCGAGTATCGACACTAGAAGGTAGACAAAGTGCTTTTCAGTCGCAACTGGCGCAGATATCCAAAGTGCTTGGTGTGCCGGTAGGAAAGCACGGCAAAAGTAGTCAACTGAAGACATTGGTGCAGACGCTACACACAGAGATTGACACGAAGGTTCAGGAAGGTATACGTGGTTTTACAATGAAGTTGCTGGTGACATAGTCTAACTCTGACTACATGTTGATACAGCCATTGCCAATATGAACGCTGCGTGTGTTGCCGGCGCAACGACGCACGCAGAGAAACTGAATGCTGAAGCAGCTGATATACCTTCGGCGTCATCTCCTACTAGGGAGTCGTTGGCGCCGTCTAGCCACAATGAGAAGAAGGAAAAGCAGAATTCCAACGACTGCGATTCTATCCCAATATCTTCCCTCTCATTTTCAACTGTGCTAAATACTCTGGCGAAAGAGCACGAGGCTTCGTTGATGAAGTTGAACACGCATTTTGACGAGCGCTTGCGTCTGGAGGGTTCGCAACGCGTTGCTTTGGAGGGACGCGTGCAAGCACGTCTAGGAGAGCTAGAGGAATGGTTTCAGCAGGTTGAAGGCGAGATCAGTGGCTCACGTTTCGAACAGACTCCATCGTCGTCGATCGCTGGCATGGCAGATGAGATGACTAGACTTGAGGCCAATTTGGCGAAAATGGAAATTGCTTGGAAGCATCAGCAGCAAGAAGTGAAGGAACTATTTGCCAAAGTAGAAAAGCTGCCAAATCTCGAAGATCTTCGCACTCAATTGGACCAGCAAAACGACGACGTAAATGTGTTACGTAAAAACCTGGATATAATTGCTTCATCGACTCGTGAAGAGACTCGTGCAGTTGCTCGTATTTCCGAGGGACTCAAGTTGATCGTGGAAAAACTGATGCGTGATACGGGTTCTGCTGAAGAACTATTGCAGCAGTATGTGAGCACAATCACACACCAAGTGGCTAGCGTAACTCGGCAGTACGTTTCGGTCAGGATCCGAGACAATAACCGACTGTTGGACGCCACGCTGCGTGCCAGGATACCAGACTATGTTTCGAATGAGAGCGAAAGCTTTTTGTTAGTGCATCCAGATCGAAAGGAAGAAGGCGACGGTCATAATCTTGGGACTGAGGTGGTTCATGAGCCAGATGAGGATGAGAATGTCAGCTTTGTGCTGTGTGAGGATGACGGGGCCGGGGTCCGATGCGTTCTGACCAGCCAGCATGGAGCATCAAAGCCCAACACCATTAGCACCAGTGTTAACTCTGATGCTAGTGCTGTTGATGCTGCTGCAGGTCCGACGGCATCATCGTGAATTCGTTCTACCACAAGAGTACAGTATCATGGGGCGCAGGACTTCTAAGGCTGTATTGATGCCTACATGTGCAAACACAATCGCACCTTTCTTGGAACGGTTTGCGTGGCAATCATCCGAGCGCAAATAACTTTGTGGCTAATTTCACTATTGAAGAAGACGCAAATGGACGATTTACAAGGTGAAGCGCTACATATTATAGCAGGTCTTCGTGTCAAGTAGTTGTCAAGGATAAACCTCGAGGGACAAGTCTGAGTACACGGCTATAATGGTTGACGTTCGACAACTGTTTACGAGAAATAGTACCGTGGAGAAATCTCTGAATATTATTGTAGTGAACAAGCGCAGCTTAATGAATTGAAGAACGTTATAATACTTTGAAATAATATGTAATACTTTCCAGAGTGATATCGCTAATAGTACTTACTATGTCCTCTCCCAGTTTATGTTTGGTTGTTTAAAAATTTCGAATTATCACTGTTTATATAAAAAAGGTTGTTTTAAGTAAATATTTCCAATAAATGCAGGTTGCTTAAACGGAACTTTTGGTGTTACTATGACAGGGTTGTAGCAAATTGCAGAAATGGTGTGGTCGCCTTAACGCACGCAATAGCTAAAAGAAAGCGTCTTCGCCCCATCGTCGACTTTTCTTGGAGCGTGCCAAAGCCAGGGCAAAACAAACGCAGAACAAATATCTTTAGCTTCTCTACGCAATACACGAGCTATATCATAGGTCAATAGTTGCAATGCTCTCTAATGTTTCAAGTGGTCTGTAATATGAAATTTCGGCAATGAAATGATCGCAAGTAAAAATTTATATACAGTTTCATAGTATAAGGTGGTGAAATGTCAGACTTTTTATTCTACAACTTTGTAAAGTAAATCAATTGGACAATGTCCGACCTTTTTCATCTCTAAAATTTCAAACTAACAACAGCAAATCCGCTCAATTTGCTCGTCTTATTCTGTCTCAATGTTTCAAACAGTACTTTTATTTCTGTGGTAGGGTTCTTCGAGCTCCCCCTGTACATATTCAAGAAAAAGAACCTGCGAGGACAACAAGGTGAGTCCAAAAAGCAAGTAGATATCGATGGATACACGCAATACAGACGCATCTTCATGTACATGAAGTATCTGTATTGATCAGTTGAATACGTTATCGTCTATTTACATCTGTCCGTGCCTTTTAAGTGATGTTGCAACGCTTCATTGCGTTGGTGTGACGACGGTTCTGATTCCATTGGTGTTCTTTCTGATTCCTTTACTGATTGTTTTTATGTGGTCTTTATAATGTTATAGTCCTCGATCTATTCCATTGTAGAGCATCATGAGCCACTTTGTGCGTCAGAGTAAATTCCGTCACGTGTACGTGGAACCAGCGAAGCTCGAATCCTGTTACACAAATGTGCGTCTGGCTACAGCCACGGGTGAGCAGAACTATATCAAGGGAAATACCAAGTTCTTTGCTGTATCAATTCAAGCTGGTGGTGGTGCCATGGCGGTCGTTCCTTATGAGAAAGTGGGCAAGTTTGATCCGGACTTCCCGCTCATCTCGGGCCATCGCGGTGCAATTCTTGACTTTGACTTTAATCCGTTCCACGAACATCTCATTGCTTCGGCCTCAGACGACACGACTATCAAGATCTGGGGGATTCCAGAAGGTGGACTTACAGAGACGTGTGTGGACCCCCTCGTGGACCTGACGGGTCATGGCCGTAAGGTTACACTCATCAAGTTCCACCCTACGGCTAATAATGTGCTAGCCAGTACGTCATCTGACTTTTCTGTCCGTCTGTGGGATATTGAGAAGGGTGCTCAGACTGTCAAGTTGGACGACCATGGTGAGAACCTGATCCAGGATCTGGCTTGGAGCTGGACGGGCAGTGTGCTGGCCACCACGTGCAAGGACAAGGTGGCGCGTCTATATGACGCTCGTTCTGGACAGGTTGTTGCGGAGAAGGAGAATGCACACATGGGCACGAAGAGTGTCAAGATTTGCTTCCTTGGTAACAAGGAGACGTTCGTGACGGTGGGCTTTACGCGTCAAAGCCAGCGTCAATTCAAGGTATGGGACCCACGTAACCTCGACAAGGAACTCAAGAAGGTGGACATTGACCAAGCTGCCGGCGTCATCATGCCGTTTTACGATCCGGACACGAACCTTTTGTACCTGTGTGGTAAGGGTGATGGCAACATCCGTTACTACGAAATGTCCGAGGGTGAACCATTTGCCTTCCCAATCAGCGAATATCGCTCGACAACGTCTGCTAAGGGAATGGCGATGATTCCCAAGCGCGGTTGCGACATCATGAAGTGCGAGACGACGCGTCTGCTGAAGCTTACATCGAATGCTATCGAGCCGCTTCATGTGTTTGTTCCGCGCAAGTCGGACGCTTTCCAGGACGATATTTTCCCCGACACGTACGCTGGCATTCCCTCAATGACTGCCGACGAATGGCTTGGTGGCGCCGACAACTCCCCAGTGCTGATGTCTCTGCGCCCTGAGATGCTGGGTAAAGTGACAAATGATGGTAAGCGTGCACGCTCTACATCCAAAACCAACAGCGTGGGTTCTGGCATTGCAGCTCGCGTGGCTCGTTTTGCCCGCGGCGGTAGCAAGAATGACAACACGCCCGAAGGCAAACTCAAGTCTGAGTTGGAGACTGCCAATGCACGAATCACACAGCTAGAGAAGCTGCTTCGTGAGAACGGCATCTCGTACTAAAGCGTCAGCGAAGGGCTGACTGCTGCGAATACTGGATAGAGGGCTATTTTCCCCTGTCGGTTGGATTGAAATGCCGTTAGGAGCGTGAAGATCGTTTGGATGGATATGGCAGTTTGAGACGGACCGACACATTAGCTGCCGCTTCGTTTTCTAATTTGGCTCTTGCAGCTGGAACCAAATACTTATTAGATTCGTGAGCAAGCAAGAGGCCTATGCACGCACCCGAGTGGATAGCTGGAGAGCAAGAATACCCCAAAAAGTGTGTGAGACTACACGGACTGCATGTCGAACGAATCTATTTGTTCCACTTACTTTGTCTCTTCTTGTGTGAGTCGACTAATCTTCATGCATGTTGATGATAAAATGTGTTGTCTGCCACTTCGTACGACGGTCAAGCTATGTCACTGCAAGTTCATGCCCCGATACAAAACAAAATAGCTCCACGACAAAACATCAAGCCATGACAATGCGTTTGCTCCCGTAACGACCGTCCAACATTGCGTGATTATGGTAAAAGTTCAACTGTGCTTGCTGTTCAAATGGCTACACATATCTATTAACTTGATCACAGATTTATTACCGCATGGTTTGGGTGAGATGTGCATCATCTAGTCTTTCCTCCTTAGGCAGTTAAGATCTACTAATTATATAGCCGATCAGTATACGCATATATTCTAAAATATTAGTTCTTTGCTATATATATTATTATATCATTTCTAATACAGACAGTGTTGCAAACAGTAGAGATTAATACAAAGCCAGTAGTAGTATAGTAATGAATTACTATTCTGTTATTAGACTATTCTGCAGTCATATCAATTTAATATTAAAAGTACTGCATATTATTTGGTTAAAATGGAGTCGACCGAAGCAATCTCGACACCCACCACTGCGGCTATGGATCTACTAAATCGTCAAGATTTTATCGACATGAACGAAGGTCTATCAAAAAATACTACTTTTAGTTTCTAGCCTTTACTGACTCTTTTTCTCTCTCTTTTTCTCTAGAAATGCACGAGTACGACGAGATGCGTGAAAAGATCATCAAGCGCTCACGTGAGATCCTCAAAGCCAGGTATGACTCATATTTTCGATTACTATTACTATTTTACAGAATCTTTTTTCGAGGGCTCACGAGTTGCAACGCCATCTTTTGCATTCACAGCAAGCAGGCAATTTTTGCGTTGCATCGAGGAGACAGAGTCGAAGCTTTAAAGCTGTTAAGTGATGCGGAAAAGGTGACGTCTTAGCAGAAAGAAAGCTCAGTGGATGGGTGCAGTGTTAAACTAAAATGTGGATACCACTCGATCAGGTGATTCCAGAGCTGGTGGCACTGACAGAAAAGAATTCGTCGTTGCGAGACGGTTCACTGGCGTCTTCCCTTGAGGAATATGCAGAGGCCAAGTGCTTCTATTATTATCTGGATACCAAGTGTCTGTTACCACGTCAAGATGTCCCGATCGTGGACAAGAACGAGTATCTTGGCGGCGTTATTGACTTTACCGGTGGGCTAAAAGTCAGTGGACTAACAGGTGTATGATACTAACTTGACAGGCTTTGGCTGATTCTTTATTTAGGAGAATTAATGAAATATGCAGTCGTAAAAGCTACTGCGAGGAATGTGGACGAGGTGAAACGATGCAAAGCCATGGTGGAAGCTATTTCAGGAGAACTCATTCAGTTTGACTTCCGTAACGGCCCACTGCGTCGTAAGTTTGACTCGGTCAAGTACAACTTGCGCAAGTTGGAGGTAGACTCTTTTTTTTCTTGTGCTTGAAAAGCTGAAGTTGTGGAGTATCAACTGTTCTTGTAATGCACTAGAACACGCTGTACGAGTTGTCGTTGGTCACGAACTCGGGGTTGACTCTGCAGGCCCACTCAGTGCACGAACCACTTGCAGCTTTGACGCACAAAGGTGAAGAATAACGGGCTAAAGCAAATCGATTGGAGCAACTTGTAAGAACATCGACGGAGTTGAAACTACGAGACATGACTCACATGCTGTACAGGTAACTGTTACCAAACTGTAACGTTTACCTCAGAGCTAGTGACAACTAAAGAGTATCTTCCTGTGACTTAAAGCGCTTGATGGGAAATTGAAGCGTTACAAAAACTAGACATCTCCTAGTAATAAACGGGTCATATGAAACACAACACAAGTACGTATTGTTTCTGAAAGGGCGTAACAGGTCATTATCGTGTTTCACAGGCTAATGTTATTCAGCCAATCAAAATGGTACGTTGAGACGCGACAAGTCGGGCACCTCATGTAGCCATACTAGTCTCGACGTATCCCATGAAACGACCGAAACAATTTCAACGAATCATCGTTCGAGTACCTCGTATCAATCACTTTTCATTGGTAGAAACAAACAATCCGTTAGCTCTAGCGTTTCTCTATATGGACCTCCTCACATAAATCAATCGTCCCATAAGTCGGGAAGGTCTTCTCTCCTCTTTCTTTGTCATTCATGGCAGCCGAGCACGTCCCATGGGCTGCAGCCATTCTTTGTTACATTCAATACGCTATTCTTATTACATTTGGACACTTGCGTGATCATGCGGGACGTATTTTTGGTGGCTCACGTTATTCGAATACTACGGAAAAAGGCTATGCACCGCTCTGTGCCGCCTTTGAGAACTTTTATACGAAACGAATTTATCATCGCTTACAGGACGTATTTAATCGACCTGTTGCTGGTTTACCAGGTACAGTTTTATGAGAAACTAGAGGTTCATATGATAAACTAGAGGCTTTATGATAAACTAGAGGGTTTTTTTATGTACTGTATTGTACTGTGCTGTACTGTATTGTCTGTTACTGTACTGACTATGCTTCTTGATGTCTTGTTATAGGGGCTCAGATTGATCTGATTGAACGTTATTCGGTCGATGAAAACAAGACGCTGCATAATAAGGATGGATGTACCCAACGCTGTGTTAATCTTGGCTCGTACAATTACTTGGGGTTTGCTGATGATTGGATGAATACGTGCAGCAAAGAGGTCTTTCCAACGGTCAAACAATTTGCTCTTGCATCGACTGTACCACCCATGGAGTTTGGGACGACGTCGGTTCATATTGCACTGGAAAAAGCACTGGCCAAATTTATTGGAAAAGAGTCGGCTATTGTGTACAATATGGGCTACGCTACCAATGCCACGAGTATTCCTGCTCTTACGGTCAAAGGTACGCTCATTCTTAGTGATGCGCTCAATCATACTTCTATTGTCAATGGTGCACGAGCATCGGGTGCTTCGGTGGGTGTGTTTAAACACAATGATCCTGCACACTTGGAGAAGGTGCTTCGTATGAAGATTGCAGAAGGTCAGCCACGGACACATCGTCCGTGGAAGAAGATCATTGTGATGATTGAGGGTATTTACTCTATGGAAGGAGAGATCGTACGTCTGCGTGAAATGGTGGACGTCACAAAGAAGTACAAGGCCTACATTTATGTGGATGAGGCTCATAGTATCGGTGCACTGGGTAATACTGGTCGCGGTATTTGTGAGTATGCGGGAGTGGATCCAAGCGAGATTGATATCTTGATGGGTACGTTTTCCAAGAGCTTTGGCGGTATGGGCGGCTACGTCGCTGCGTCGGAAGAGATCATCAGCTTTATGCGCAATTCAAGTGCAGGTGCGATTTACGCCACGAGTCTGTCTCCCGTGGTCGCCCAGCAGGTTCTGACGGCGTTGAACATTATTGCTGGGTTGGACGGTACCGACATCGGCCGCAAAAAGATTACATCTTTGCGTGAGAACAGCAATTATTTCCGCCAAAAGTTGATTGACATGGGTGTGATCACGCTGGGTGACTTTGACTCGCCTGTGATCCCGGTGATGTTGTATCACATGTCAAAGGTAGGCGAGTTCTCTCGCGAGTGTCTCAAGCGTAATTTGGCTGTGGTGACAGTGGGCTTTCCTGCTACACCGCTGCTACTTGCTCGCGTTCGTTTCTGTGTTTCTGCGGCCCACACGAGAGAGGACATAGACGCAGCTTTGATTGCATTGAAAGAGGTCTCGGACTTGTGCAATATCTGCTTTGCGAAAAAGGCATAAGGAGGGTATTCGCGCGTCGGCGATGTGCGCCAATCGGCTTGGACGCCACGCGCCGTTTAAAATATGTCTGGGTAGCCAACTCTACCGGCTAGTCTTTTTCGACTGGAGATGCTGCTAACAAATGAAAAAAATGAAGGCAAATGAAGGCACATGCTATAGGAATCTATAGTGTTCGCTCCTTCTCCATACTGAATGTTGCTGTTCTTTTGTTAGAATCAAGGCTATCCACCTGGGCATGTCAAAGCGATAATGGTAGTTGCGAAATGCTGGGTACTATCATCTTCTGTCGAGAGTACATGTAGCACCACATTCGAGTGTGTATTGTGATATGGAGCTGACATTTCCTTGGCCTATTCGAGTCTCATGCAGACTAAAGGTCATCAGCGACGACGCTGATAGTCATGGCACCCAAATCCCTGAAAGACTAACTGCATGCGCTTACTTCGCTAGGCTCCAGTTTAACGGGGTCAGTGTTGTCTACCTCCATCTTCATTGCTAGCTCCGTCGTTTCAGCCTCATCAACATTCTCATCCTTGACTTGCTCGACAGGATCTTCAAGGAGCGCATTAATCTCAGACGAAAGGTCCAGTGGCTGGCCATCAGGACCGGCAGTGAAAGAGAACTCGCGCAACAAGACACGCAACTCTGTTTCCTCTTTTAACAGCAATGCAAGCTGAGCAACGGGGAGTCTACGAAGCAGCAGAGGGAACGATGCCGGCTGAATCAGTGCCGAGCACTTGACGAAACCCTTCCACAGCGCGTCCTCCATTTCCCAAACCTTTCTGTCGACGAGAATACCCAAGACCGAAGCCATGTCGCGCTGCATCGTTGGATATGCTGTTACGCTAAGAATAAGAGTGCGAAGCGAAAGTTTCGATATCTTTTCCTCCTTGACCAGCACACGACACACGTGGAGCAGCACGTCTGACGGAAAGGCGTGGCGGTGCTCCACACAGAAGTTAATAGCGTTGATAACCTTCTTTTGCATGGTTGGATCGGTCTTGAGATCCACATGATGTAGTGCCACAAGTAAATCAATCGGAGCTACCATTTGCGGAGGCATCGCCTCTAATAGCCGCGTAATGGCGACTGCCAGTCGAGCTTGGGGCAGGGATAGCAGCTCAGGCAATAAAGGGAACAAGATCTCACCACGGATGCTAGGCAAGACAGGGATCAGCACGGAGATAGAGTCCGGAATGTGTCCATGACTATGATACAACTCCAAAATCTGTTGGACGAATTCATCCGTACCCGACGAGCTTGCTTCGTTCGGCCGACCTCGAATTGACAAGATCTGAATAACGTGGCAAACCAGCCCAAGGGCATTCGGCTCATACCCGTGCAATTGAGCAACAACATTAACGCTTCCGCGTTGCTTAAGATGCTTGATGAGCTTTTCGATTGCTCGGAAAATCGATTGGCGTACGGTCTCAGAAGCGTATGCGTACGTTGCCACCAAGTGTGTCAGAAGTGATGGCTTCTTCGCACACAGCGCCAGGTATAATTCTAACCGCCGGAGAATCTCCGGCTCGCTATCCAAATGTTTCGACAAATCAGTTTTACCTTCAACTTCGTAAGCATAAGTGCGCAGTTCGTGACAAGTACTCTTGTCAGCAAGAGCAATTTGTTTCACCTTATTCTTCAGCCAGTTGTCATCTTTTTCCTCTGGTTCAATGAATTCTTCGAGAATTGGTTTCACATCATTTTCATCCTCGACTACAGCCTCAGGCATCACCTCATCGACTGACACACTCTCATCACTGGATTTTACTGGTTCTCGCAGCGAATTAACCAGCTTGATCGCAAAATCTTCAATGTCGATTTTAAGGGCACTAATTCCATACATCTGATTAGCCACACAGCGAATGGCAGAATTGCGACAGTGCTCGTCCTCGTGACATGTATATCGCAATAGAATTAACAGACACGGCGCCTGGCATGCCTTCCGTTCCTTTGCTAGATCACGCAGCAAAGTGATGCCTAGCACAATTCCAGCCTTCTCATCGAACAGCGCTACGATAATACGAAGAATTTCCACTGGAATTCGTGGTAATTGCGCTACCAGAATCCCAAACAATTTCTTGTCTGCCGCTGAAGAAAGATCCATCTTCTTTCGTAGCACATCAAAGAAGTAGTTCACGGATGCCTGGTAGATCTGATAATCAGTACTGCCGCCAGAAGCGGCTGCTTCCTTGGCGGCGACCGTGTTTAACTGAGAAGCCGTGGCACGGATGTACTCTTGGCAAAGCAGATTTGTTGCCAATGTTGAGCGCACCGAATAATCACGCAGAACGAAATCAAAAATCCTCTGATAAATAAATGGCAGTTTTGGCAAATTATCTGACGTCCCCGATTTCAACTCATTGTTTTCATCCGTGCTAAGAAGCCACGGGCTTGCTGCGAGTCGACAGATAATGCCTTCACGCAACGTTTCGTTACCTCGAATTTTTACCCCATATTCATTTTCCAAGATCCGAACGAGAGCATCGATGGCCATTTCATGACGCCACGTGGGGGTCTCGGACTTTAAATGCACTTGCACCATATTATCCTCCGATACAGATACCAGTGGCTCTGCAATTGTAGCGGCGTTCTTCGATATCCAGTCGCTCACTTCTTCGATGACTGTCTCATCAAAAATCGGCACAAGAGCCGGCTGCTCCTTGTTTTGCGTTTGCAGTCTTGGATCACGCCGGAGGCGAGGATCACGCATTCGTTTAGCACTTTTCTCAATTGCAAGCGCTGACGAAGGAGTTGCAAGCTTTGCAAGCAAAGACGACATCCTCGTCTTCAATGCGCTCGGCACCAGCTCCAATTGAACGTCAGGTGGTGCTGGAGTAGGCATGGCGGAAGCGAAGCTCTCCAGCACTACGTTGGCTACTTCCACAGCTTGCATATTTACAATTCCGTCATGAGTCACCTTCTCTTGAGAGATCAGAGCAGCTGACGACCCCGATAGATTCACACGTCTGCGCTTGGCGTGCGCATTGGCATTCTCCACTCGCTCTGTGATAGACTGTGCTGCTGTGCGTTTACCAATCCTTGCTCTACGTAATGAAGCCTCCGTCGGTGCAGATGTATATCTTCTTCGTTGTTCTTTACTCTTACTAATCGCAGCAAATGCGCGTTGAGACGCCCCTACAGCAATCAAAGCGTCCGTCACTTCATCTGCAAATGCCTGTGCCGCTGGGTGACTAAGTAATTTGACCAAATTTGCCGTCAATGTCTTGTGCACCCCAGGCATTGAAATTGCATTCGACAGAGCAACAAGTTTTGGCAGAATATGTGTCATATGCTGCGGCCGCACAGCTGCAAGCAGCGACAGGGAGTTCACCACTACACTCAATTCTCGTCTCGTCCATAAAAGTAGTTTTGCTTCCACTGCATTAGCAGCAACCTCACACATGCGTTGCAGTAAAACGACGCCAAACTCCTCGAGCTTTATCTTATTCAGAACCATTTGTTTCGTGTCACTCAACTGGTCCAAACTGCAGATATTTGGCTGGACGTTCGATCGCATTGGATCTCGATACACTGACGCATCTTGTGCGGTACTAAACAGCATCACCCCACTCTCCACAAGCTTCCATGATCGTAACCAGACCATGGGACTACGACTATTCCTGTTCCCCGTCTCCGGAGGATTAGTTATCAGATCTCCTGTAGCTTGTAAACAACGAATCAAAGCGTCCCAACACTTGCTCGACTCATTCAGCAATTGATTCTCCATTCTCTCAGCTTGTATCATGACTTGGAAACTCAAATGCAGCGTCTTCAGTACCAATTGCAGTGCCAAGACCACATTCTTTTCTGTTGAATAACTCAAGAGTAAGATCGTGTGACAGACATCATACAGTCCCGTCAAGACCGTCACGACCACGTCCAGTGTCTCGATTGATTGTTTCTTGATAAGAACGACCACTTCTTGAGCAATTAACTGCAAAACACCAGCCACAAGAGCCGCATTTTGAATCTGCACTACTTGTCCAAATAACGGCAGGACATGACAAAGAACATGTCGCTTTGGACCCGAGGGATCACGATGTTGTATAATTTCCTGTACGTGTGTAAAGAACTCGAGTTGTTCGGCCTTATTGGCCGCTCCTTGGAGCTGCTCCAGCAACGTCGTGACCTCTTGGTCGGCGCTTTCCATTTTGGTAAATAATCAATTTTGAAAGGGTCATGGATGCTACGATCATTTCCATACGACTGCCCAAAGAGGACACTTTTGTACCGGACAGACAACAACTTGACTCTTTCGATTACTATTACTATTATAACTACTACTATAACTACTATACTATTACTACTATACTATTACTACTATTATAAATGACGAAAATGCTTGGGAACCAGCCACTCGTGATTGATAATGGGAGTGGTCTTTTAAAGGCAGGATTTGCCGGTGGTGAAACACCTCAACTAGTTTTTCCATCATTTATTGGTTCTACGAAACATACACGGATGATGCCGGGTGGTGCCTATGAAGGGGGTGACGTGTTTGTAGGGAATCGAGTGCAACATCATCGTGGATTGTTTAAGATTCAGTATGCTATGGAACATGGCATTGTGACGGACTGGAATAGTATGCATCGTGTCTGGCAACATGTGTACTCAAAGGACATGCTGAATGTACAGAGTGAGGACCATCCTGTGCTGCTTACAGAGGCACCATTGAATCCAATGACTAATCGCCAACGGGCGGGTGAAGTTTTCTTTGAGGCGTTTAATGTCCCGTCATTATTTGTATCTCCTCAAGCAGTCTTAAGTCTCTATGCTTCTGGACGTACAACGGGTGTAGTACTTGATGTGGGAGATGGAGTTGCACATGTTGTGCCCGTTTACGAAGGCTTTACACTGCCTCATGCTATCACTAGGATGGATATTGCAGGACGAGACGTGACACAACAGTTGCAGTTGCTATTGCGTCGAGCAGGTTACAATTTTCAAACGTCAGCAGAGAGAGAGGTGGTGAGAGAGATCAAGGAGAAGCTATGCTATGTGGCTTTTAACCCCACGAAAGAAGAGCAACTGGAAGCTGAAAAGTCGGCTCTTGCAGTCAAGGACATGCTCGGTACCAAGTCAAAGCCCGCTGGATCATCAGGGGACGCCACTTCAGCCTATTATCTGCCAGACGGCACGCTGCTCAACGTGAGTCTTTGATTCGTTTACTACTTGCTCTAGAAAGAAGGCGCTGTGTTTGTTCTGAAGCAGCGATGTGTGTTACGTTTTTTTTGATGATGCAGATCGGTCCAGAGAAATTTCGAGCTCCAGAGTTGCTGTTCCGACCGGAAATAATTGGCTCGGAGGCACGTGGGGTGCACGAGTGTTTGGTGCAGGCCATTATGAAGTCGGATCTTGATTTGAGGAAGACCCTCTTCTCGCAGATCATCCTTTCCGGTGGCTCGACGCTTTTCCCTGGCTTTGGCGATCGTTTACTCGCCGAAGTGCGCAAAAAAGCACCTAAGGACATCAAAATTCGCATTTCAGCACCGCCCACGCGTATCTACTCCACATGGATCGGTGGCTCTATTTTGGCTTCGCTTGCAACATTCAAGAACATGTGGATTACCAAGAGCGAATACGAGGAGTATGGACCTTCAATTCTGCATCGCAAGAATTTGTAGGCATGAAAAGCAAAGGATGCACGGAAGGAGCCGCCGATGCCAAGCTATGCTTCGCTTTGCTTCTGTTATTGTTTCGGTGTGAAGCGAGCGAGATAATCTTCTGTGCAGGTTCTCGATTTTGCGTAGAGCGTACGGAGGAGGAAGTGGCCTGCAAGTAATACAGACGAAGAAACAATCATGAGTGAGTGAAATAAAGGCAATGCAAGTCACGCGTACGGTAGGTGAGCAGCAGCATGATACACTGACTTGGTACTGCAATTTACGTGTACTACGTGTTGTTGTGTTTCTAATTGGATGCGACTAGCAAATACTTCCAATCGTAATACATGTACTGGATCACCTTATGTCGAGTCGACAATTATACCAATATGAGCGGCTCGCCGCTTCTCTTCTCCCAATCTACGCTTTATCACCACAACGGAAGCACCCCAGAGCAAGACCCCCCACGACATCCAAGCCACGGCAAAAAGCAGCACGTTACGAAGACCCAAATAGTTTTCTGAACAGCGAGGATTAAGCACTGCATCACCGTCAATTTCCACAGTACCACAGAGAGGAGCCCAGTCGTCCTTAATAAGACCCAGGATGATAGGGGACGGTACATCTCCCAGTGCGTGAATAAAAAGCGTGTTCGCCGCAACAGCCATCGACTGCCGAGATTTGGGGAACAGCTCCAGTACGGCAATCGTTTCGGGAACGGATAACGCACACGTGCAGAAGAGAGTCAGAGTAAGGAAAATGAGACAGACTATCCGAATGCTGACAAGAGCTACCATCGTGAGTCCAAACACAACCGATGCAAGCATAAGGTAGAACAAGGCTTTTACAGAGATCATGCAGCGACGTCCAATCTCGTAGGGTTTTTTCCTTGCAAAGTAATCCACTAGGAATCCTCCAAGAGGTGTGCCAATGGTACCGGTGATAGCCACAAGTCCACCAAAAGTGAGTGACACAGTCGTCTCGTCCTCAAAAAGCCCAAGACCGATAAAGATGTCCGGACTGAAGGTGCTCATGGCCGCCATCGAAAACGTGTAAGCTGCGTGTCCAAGGATGATTAGCAAAAACGGAAAGCAGCTGCAAATTCCCCACCACTCGGCAAAAAACGAAGGTGTCGTAACGGGCATGGGGCGTTCTTTTTCTTCCAGGTAGACGGACACACTAGCCTTTTCGTTGTCCCCTGCAAAGCTAGGCATCGCCAGCAGCTCGCTCTGAGTGTTCTCCAGCTCAATCCTTTCCATTTTGATCGGGATCTGATTCAGCTCGTCCGGTATTATTACAAGGCAGCTGACTACCAACGCTACCATTAACACACCTTCTAGATAGTAAGCACCAGCCCATCCGAAAGCAGATCGGGCAAAGATCGATCCATAAATGTAGCCAACTGCAGTGCCCACCGTAATGGATGCCAAGTAGATTCCCAGATACAATGAGCGTTTCTGAGGAGGCGCAAAGCGATTGATAAACGGCGTCGCCGTACACTGAAACGAAGCTTCGCCGACGCCACTGATTAAACGCCCAGTAATTAACACATAGTAGCTTTCGCTCATCTGCGCGGCACCACAAGTGATGACAGCCACGATCCAGACTGACATGCCCAAGGCAATAATACGAAATGGTCGATGCGTGAGTGCATAAAAGCCAAACAAGACGGAGAAGATCGAGTAACTTGCAATAAAAGCCGACGTTAACAGTCCAAAGAAGACGGACTGACGTAGTACACTCACGTTTAAAGTATCAGTAATGAATTGCTCAAACTCTTCCGGGGCTCCAGGGATGATACCACGGTCAACGTAGTTGAGTAGATTAATACAGCACAGCAACATGATGGCGCCTTGCGAGCCGACTTTGTATTCGCCCATTGTCGTTTGACTGGAAATGAGACTGGAGTTGAATAAAGAGATTGCAAATAAAAGTGACGTCGTCTCAAAGTCGTCGTCGTCTTTGGTGGTACGTAATGATGGATATGGATGGACCTATTTGCTACAGATCCCGGACGAAGAGACTTGAGGAATCATGGCCTCGTGTATGTACTTGTCCTTTTTATTCTAATATCTCTCCATACGAACATAGAACGAACGTACTGGAAAATAACTTGGTTTTCGTGAGACCAAAAAGTGTACAGACCCGTCTCTGGTCACTCGATACATCGTTTTGGGTCAAATCTGAAGACCAGATTATGCTACACGATCAGATTATGGCTACAGTCTATCCGGATGTTTGCATCTCCCATCAATGGACGCGAGCCATGACACTTTTTAAGGCCCTTGCAGTCGTCATGAAGATTCTGAATTGGGTATGTTTGACCAGAAATATCGTTTTTTGGCCGGTACGTTCCTTGATTTGTCTGTGTTTTTTTTCCGATCTGGGGCTCGTGTTACTGTAGTGGGCGACCAGATTGTACATTCAACTGATTTCTCATCGCATCTATTTAGATACTGTAATCGTGCTCTTTTGCAGGAATCTTTTACATGCACGAGTGATGGTCGCTTTTGGCTTTTTTTTTGCGCACTGACAGGTTACCTACGTACTACATATACTAATGTCACATACGAATTTTAATGTCGCAGTCTACTATTTCAATAGCGTGTAACCGTTTAAAGTACGATTATCAATTATAATGGCTTGGAGTGAGGATGACATGGCTACGTCCAACGCTGCCGTCCCGTTGCCGACGTTATCGTGCACGGCTGAAAGCGTAAAAGTCCTTGTGACTTTATTAAGTTGTTTGACACATAATAAACGTGACCAACGCGTGCGTTGTGACGTGGATGGACGTGGTCTGCTCTTTACAGCGCATTCAAAAGGAAAATCTCTGCAGCTGAAAACTTCTATCGGTCGGGAGCTCTTTGAGCGCTACAAATTTACTTCGACTCAAGGTATTGAACAGGAACAAGAAGATAATGAAGCAGACGATGATGTGCAATTAAGTTTCGCACTTAACGTGAACCTCCTGATCGAGTGTCTGTCCATGTTTGGCCCCTCTGCTCTCGCTACGACGTCACTTCAAATGACATACGAACCCGAGGTAACATAGGGATAACATAGAGTAGAAACAAGGTAGAAAATACAGGATGATTGACTCGTATTGCTCTTGATGTAGAGTGCTAGTCTATTGCTGATCGTAGAAGACAACGGTGTCATGTGCGAGTGCTCGATGCAAGTTTTGGAGCATGAAGGGGGAGATTTGGGTCAATTGGAGTTTGAGAGTGCTTTTGAGCAGTCAGTAGTGGTGGCACGCTGTATTATGCAGTCGGAACCACTTCGAGACGCCTTCTCGGAGCTCTACGATTTACCCAGCGCTGCGAGTGTCACCATTGCCATGGCTGATGTAGATAGCAGAAGTCCTCAAGATCGGTCCAAAGCCAAGTGTCTTAGCTTGAGCGCGACTTCAGAGACTGGATCGTGTGAGATTAGCTTTGCACCCACGTCGTCTGCGTTCATCGAGTTTTCGTGTGCTCCGGCCACCGAAGGTGATTGCACGGGGAGCTGTGCGGCAACTTTTCACGTTGCAGTGTTGCAGCAAGCGTTCAAAGCGCTTGCACACTCCAACGAGACGTTTCTTCGAATAAATGGTGATGGCTTCCTGTCGATTCAGCATATGGTTGAAAGCGGTACAGGTGACAAGGCTTTCGTCGATGCCTTGATCAGCCCCGAGGATACGTCCATTTCGTAGAGTGGAGTGGCAAAACTGCCAGATGGAAATGAAAGAAGAGGACCAGATTGGGATGCAGCGATGGTGTTAGTCATTAAGTCCGACCAACGATACCGTGTTAGTGGAGCTTCAGAAGTCAGAAAAAGAATGCAGGGCCGATGCAGCAACGATTCAAGTTTCGAGTGTGAACTAGTATACTTACAAGCACTTACCAGACGACTGTTCAGGATACTTGTGCAGCAAGATGATCTACTCGCTGAGCTTCAGTGAAGTCAAACATACGAGAACCGGATTAGCAACAACACCAGGTGCGTTAAGACGCTACTTAAATCTTGGTTCCAACATCGAAAAGCTTGAATGTGCTAAATTTTCACAAATCGCGGGTAGAAGACTGCTTTTGGATTCCTGACATCGTTCTTGATTGCTTGGTGGATGGGTTAATATATGGAATGAAAACCCGAAAAAAGTGAGCTCAAGATGCACAGGAACTTGAAACGGCCAACTCAGCGAAAGTCTTATCTCAAAAGACATCAACCCGATAGATACGCTCTAGCAGTCGTGGACGTCATGGATCTAGACACAGAAGAAGGTAAAAAAAGTTCTTGACCTTGTGTGGTGATGACGATACCAAAAAGGAAGTATTTTTGGAAGAGGATCAGGACTAGACGCTAAACACACAGCTGCATGCTAGCTTCAGAACGAATCTGTTGACGGCCTACATTAGCTCGAATTCGCCCAGCCCAATAGAAGAGTGTTTGACGTGCTTTCCGCATGTTCTCGGCCCGCAAGTTGCTGCGTCAAATGCTGTATACAAAGCTCGACACTGCGACTTGAGCGCTAAAGTATCGCAAAAAGCTCACAGGTAAAGTTACGATCCACAAGCCAACCGGTCTTGGTCCTAAGGAAACACAACCGCTGAAGGGTTACTGGTGGAAAAAGTAGTCGGCAAGTTGGTGGGAGCGCTTCAATGCTTCTTGTTTGTACTTACAGTATTTGGATCGGTAGGTGAACAACTTTCTATAACCGAAGCAAAGCTGAACCGAGCCCGACGCTGTCAATTTTTCTACGATCCTGCAACAACATGACTTCATACAGGGTATTTCTACGGTCTGGAATACCACATGTGGTAGGTGTGCTACGAAAACGATTATGTCACATAAAGTCAGCAAGGCGGTCCGAAGCGCGATGAAAGAGCCAAACGGACAATAGCGAATACGAACCCAAGCCACAAATGCGTCACTGTCCTTGAACTGAACAAGGCTTGCGGCCGTAATTCGTGTAGCTGGACGCCATCTAGATCTGCCCCTCCATGGTGAGCATGCCGTCTGCAGTACCAAATGAGTGATGAGAAGAGCTGTACCTCACGGTGGATTTCATATATAAAAATAACATGAAAGCATACCTATTGAATCTCGAGGCGGACTTCCCACAATAGACCCTTCCCTAGTTCATTGAATAAACACATCATTAGCGTCATCTATTTGCGGTAGTTTCGCTATGGCCACAACATCATGGCAACAAACCAATACTTACCTCCTTGCGCGCTGTACAGCTGCAGCTCCCTGTTTCTTCGCTTTACTTGCATCAATCCACGGATGGTCCCATTGTGTGATTCTCAAAGTCGGGTTGCAGTAGTATTGTTTTTTCTTTGAGCGAGAATGACGCATTTCCCAACCAGAAGGAAGTGGCAACGCGTCCAAGTTCAGCGCCTCCCGGACCGCAGAATCTGTCCGAAAATCCGCGTGCTGACGCGGAGCTGCCGACGATCCTTCCTCTCCGTAGTACTTGTCTTTCACAGCTGTAAGCCTATTCTTTAACGACTCCATTGCACCGGCCCGAGCCGTACTGACTTCTTGCAAAAGTGACGGGCGGCTACCAGAGTCGCCCATATCACGATTCTCACCAGCGCTGTCACCACCCCATAGGGTGAGCCGTCGCGCGGATTGACGGAGGAACTGCTCTGTTTCAGCTGATTTCTCGGCAAGTGCCGCTTGCAAAACTGTCGATGCTTCGCCTCCATCGCCATTATCGTAGTCGTTCTCCAGCGCTTTCTTGGATCCCAACCTTCGGAACACAGAGCGATGGTCCTTCCGCATCGATTTCTGACTAGAGAAGACAGGGTCGGAGCTAGCACTTCCACGAAGCTTTGCGCACTCGCGTTCCACAACTTCAAGCTTCTTGTCCTTTTCTCGAATCTGCAAACGGCATTAAGTGATCAACGATTAGAAAAGAAAGATTAGCGAGTTCCTCTTATTCAAGACCTTACCGCGTCTTGGAAACCTCGGATCTTGACTTGAAAGTTCGCGGAAAGCACCGTTTGGTCGAACTTTAGCTTCTCAACTTCCTTTTTGAGTTGCGCAGTTCGTGCACGTTGCTCCTCATTTTCTTTGCGCAAGCGCCCAGTCTCTTCATTTAGCTGGTTGATGATACCATCAGCGTCAGCCATCCATACGTGAGCAGTAGACCGCCCGCGAGCACTGGTTTCTGCATTAAGCTGGCCGTCAGTAGACGACGAAGACAATCTATCCTTCTTGGATTCAGCGTTTCGCCGCTGTTCATCATGAAGACGCTCCTGCAGCTTGTTCAATTGGTACTCCATGTCAGCTTGCTGCTTTTTCTTCTGAAGGGCTTTTATATACTTTGGTCGCTCGTTCTTCATGCGCAAAAAGGCTTGAATCTTCACAGCAATCTTCCGTGCGTCCGTAAATTGTTTGCTGCGTGTACGAGAATGAAGATACAAATTAGCAAGTCATGCAAGACAACGACCTCAAGGTAGAAACTTACCGTTTGACAAAGCGACGAGCATATTTTTGAAGAATGATCGCGCTATTGTTCTTCTTAGCATTAAGCGCGGCACAGCGACCATTGTATCCACGCCAGTGCGCCTGCAGCAGGGTAACAGCAGTCTTGAACGACTGATACCGATTCATCGTAATGACGCATCGAGCAACCGACTAATGGTAACAACAATACACGCACCAGACACGCATTGATAAGCGTACGCAATACCATAGGTAAAAAGAGAAAACGAACCTGCAGCTTGACGATTGCTTGCAACTTGCAAAGGAAGCGAAGCCTACAGCAAAATCCACGCATGTAATGCTGCAAGTGTCGAGCTTGAAGATCCAATCGGATCGCCTTTTTGTCCTCCATTTGTTCCAAAATTCCATAACGGAAGTATATGCGCGAAAAGCCTATCTGGTATTGCTCAGGCGAAGACAATTCCATCTTTTTCATCAGTGTCTCGCATCGTTGTTTGACAGAAACATCGGTATTGCGTTGCTTCACGTCAAATACCCAAAACTTGTCCATCAATTCCTCTAGCAGCAATCGGTTCGGGTATGCAACACGTGAAATGCGGATTGCCTCGATCACACCAGCGCAACGTAATTGTGACACTACCATCGGCTGGTCCATTTCATTTGGACTTTTGTTTTGGTTCGGCTTAATACATCGGACGTAGTGTACCTTCGTTTGTCGAATGCTAGTCATGAGCTCGTTAAGGTTGTCCTTAAATTGGGTGCCAACATTTGCCACCGCCAGAGCACCTTTTGTAACTCGACTACCTCGAGCATTACTGTTGCTTTTTTTCGTGACATGACCGGACTGCCAACCTTTTCGACAAATATCGTCCGGAGAAACTGTTTCGAGGATCCTCGCATCAAGTTGGACAGATCAGGAAGAAGAGCATCTTTGTGCTTCTCAAGGAAACCTAGTGATTCGTACGTAACTGTGCCAGCGTAGTGCTTAATAGTAAATTGCGTACGCGATGTGCGAGGAAACACAATAACGTCCAGCTCGTCTTTGTGGATGGTCGAAAGCTTAGAAACGAGCGACTCGTCATTACCCTTGGGGCGCATCACTTCATCATTAAGCAGCGAAATAATACCGAGACGGTCTTCAATCACCGAAATGACATCTTGATTATCTGCAAAGTTAATATGACTCCAGACGATACCTTCGGCTTCGTACTCAATCTGCACGGTTTTGAAGACGTCCTGAGTGAACTTCTGCTGAATTTTCTCGTTCGCGTAATTGATGCAAAATTGCTCAAAAGAATTATGCTTAAAGTGCTCAAAGCCGAAGATATCGAGAATACCTACATGGTAGCGCATCTTCTTATCATTCTCCAGGGACGTGTTGATCGTTTCTACTAGCCAATCGAAGACGTTGGAGTAAATCGCCTTAGAGAGTGCGCCAATACACTCCTCTGCTTGATCTTTCTTCAGAAAGGCAGTAACCTTATCCCCAGCGACTGCAATCTGCCGGGAGCACAAAGCTTTCTCCAAATTTTCGGTTGAAATACCCAACAGTTTGGTCGCGTTTTTCGCCCCTTGATTGTCGGGCACAATTTCTGACTCTTCGTTATTATTTTTTGACTGAATTTCTAACTGGCCAAGGTGTATCACGCCTGCAAGCACCTCAAAAAGCACTTGTTGCTGCTCCTTCGTGACACCAATAAGTCCAAGTGCCGTTTTCGTGCGTTCAAAGTGTTTGCTGTCCGACATGCCCTCAATTTTAATGGTTTTGTTTGCACCCGTATAAGCATAACACTTGTTCACGTCCTCCAAGAACCACCGTTCCTTACTATCATTTGCAGCTAGAAGCTGATAGAAAATGTGGTAGTTTCGCTCCATTTCTTCGTGAGAAATTACACGGGTCTTTTCCAGCAAATACGTCCTGCATCTTGCTCCTACTAAAATACCAGCACTATCAAATTGGAGCTGTGTGAATTTACCAAATCGACTACTATTGTCATTTCTCACTGTCTTGGCATTACCAAATGACTCGAGCAATGGATTTACTTCAATAATCTTCTTGATCGTATAATCATTGAGTCCTCCAGCAATAGAAGCTAAATGATTCATAAGAATCTTTGTAGTCTCTGTCTTCCCAGCACCTGATTCACCACTCACAAGAATTGACTGGTTCACTTTATGTCGCTTCATGTCATTGTACGATGCCATGGACGTTGCGTACACATGAGGTGGTAATTCTTCCCTTGTTTTAGTCAAATATAATGACTGTGTCTGCTCTGAGTAAAGTCTCTGGTAGCCATTGATATGGATTAAGAGCGATACAAATGTCTCCTGTATAAGTATACGGCAACTTTTGCAGAAATCGGGTCTTGACATTGTATAAAATAGCCGCTTCGTGTAAATAATTGAGTGTCGTCATGTCTTCAATTCCCTCAAGACCAACATTCTCATTCTGATAAGGCAGTGATTCAAGCTGTAAAGTCGTCAGTAAAGCCTTGACTTTGGGGTCATTGAAGTCCAGTACACGCTCTTCATCTTTAATAGACGCATTGCGGTCACCCGATGGAGGAAACACACGCAACACTAGCGTCTTTTCAGGCTTCTTGGGGTCACTACTCTTGATCTCACGTAGAATTTGTGCTGGTAGCCACACGTACGTCTCGTCGGGCACGTAGCACTTGATACCCGCACCCGCTTCCTTTGTTGCCATATTGCGGAATGCAAAATGAAGGTCGGTACAATGCGATTGGCTAAAATGATTGGCATACAAGTTTTAAGAGAGAAACTTCAACTGCCTGCTCGTTCATGTCTACACATAGTTAAACTATCTTCCGTCATTGTTTGTGTATTTACTTTAGAAACCTCTCTTCTATCATAACTTGTCAAACATGGAGACGGTTGTGCACGAGCTCCAGAGTGACGGTACGCGGCCTTATCCAGCTTCTAGTACCTCTTATCTACTGCTAACAATGTCTCTGTATGTATCTACATCAACACAGCACAACTGGGTGTTTTTCTGAGCTCAAACTGCAACGTAAACGCCATCGCCAGTGTAATTGTAGCACGAGATTCGACTTCACATGACGTTAGCGGCTCCTCTCGACGTCGCGCCAGCTTTACTACGAACGATATTGCAACAAATGAAGATCCAGACGGTCTTAGTCAATTGGAACAGTTTGTAGAGCGTTTGGACAATGCAGTGCAGCGTATCGATCGTGTGATTTCGGAGCATATTGGTGAACACCACGCCACGCTGCTGGATCAGGTGAGCTCAGTGGACGAGCTTCAGGACCATGTGATGTCTGTACAGAGCTCAGTGGGACAACTGAAGCAATCGGTTCATTTGCTGGAGTCGCAAGTGCGCGAGCAGCACGAGGAGCTACGGGACGCGATCCAGCGTTATCGTAACGTCGAGCAATGTGGAGACATTGTACGGCGAGTGCTTCGTTTCCAACAGCTGTCAGATCGTGTAATAGGGTCAGAGTTGAATCAAGTTGATGCTGCGTCGACGGAGATGGTGGTAGAGACTGGAAGCAGCTTGATAGGAGATGCGAGACAGAACGAGATGGCCTCGGTGGCGCTAGCGATCAGAGAGATGGAGATGCTGGTACAAGATGAGAGATTTGAAGAACTGAGCGTCGTGCGTGCCAAACTACCAGCTACACGTAAACTTGGTACCAACTTAAAACGTGAAGTGCGCACTGCACTTCGTTCAAGTATTGAGAGTCTGAGTCAGGCAAATGTCGGCGATGCGCTGCAGATCCTTTTCTACTTGGGAGACTTGGCTACGACAGCTCAAGCCTCAGTGAATGATGTGATTCAGGAATTGGAACGCAGGTGCACTGCAGCTATCTCAGAAGAGAAACTTATGGGCTCTAGTGGAACCAACTTGAACGGCTTAAACTCAAGTAATGGACTACCTTCTGGTAGCATCGTGCAGAAATCTGACGTGTGGAAAGCACTTCAGGATGTTTTTGATGTCATTCGCGTGCATGCACTTCAAGTGTGGAATCTGCAGCGCGTGCTTCTAAAGATGGTAGACCCGGCGTCAGGCAAAAAGTACATGGATTTGGTCCTTGCTCTAGATGAGCCGTCTCTCTTTGCTACATTCTGGGAGGTGACATGCGCTATTGTGCGAGAGTTGTTCGCGTCGACACTAAGCTACAGTACGGCGGTGAAATCTGTGTTGATCGCGGAATATCCTCGTATGCGAGAGCAAGCTACACGAGTGCTAAACGAAATGTATACCGCTACGGGGCAGAGCGCAGGTGCAGAATTCATAACAGATTCTTTGAACGCTGCAACGGAAGCAATTGACGCGAAAAGCGGAGTAACAGAGAGAGAGATGGCGCCCATTGCGGGCTCTGTGGCCGAGCGCGCACAATTACTGGACTCCATGGCACCATTGCATGATGCGTTTATCGATCGTGCTTATCGCAGGATGCTGAACCCTATACAGCTCATGTTTCCACAAAGCTCTAGTTTTCACGCATCACCGCCCGGTCGCAGCGATATGCAAACTCTATCACGTACAATTCTTTCTGAGCTAGAACAGGCCGGCCAAGATCCCGTGCTGCTGGATGGCGTCCTTGAGCAGGTGCAAAAGGCTGTTATCTTGTTCTGCTCTAACGTGAAAACCATTATGCACCAGGGAAAGGCGGCTGCTGCGACACTGCCGTCTTTTGGACGAACATCTGCGCAGGCCCACAATGTTGGGCTCATGAATGTTTTGAGCTTACTGGATGGCGCAGTTGAGGAAGTAGAGAACCGTGTCAAACTTACTGCAGCTAAAAATGGTTCTCAAGCAGAAACAACAGCATCCGTGTCTTGTACCGCTGGTGTCATTGCTACTGGCGTAGTCACTCCAAAAGAAGCCAAATCGCTGTGCACGAAAAGTTTAGCTCCGTGTCGTCAGATGATCGGGGACCTGGAATACGCCATGTTGGGATACTATCTGCAGGCACTTGCAGTATTGCTGGAGGACATTTTCGCAAAAATGCATAGTGAGTCCTTTGGTGATCAAAGTGCGGCAACCGGCGTGGCAGCTTCTGGCGATACGCCGCGAAGTAACGGTGAATTTCGCCCGTCACCGAGCACAAGCGGTTCCAAGTATATGCAAGAATTCATCAACGCGTTCTCTATTATTCTGGAAGAGCATCTCCGTCGCCTCCCCGTGGCTACCTTTGCCACGAAGTGTATGGTGGATTTTGTAGAGCGACTCATCTCGGTGTTTATCCGGCATGCATCCTTGCTTCGCCCACTTACTGAGAATGGCAAGCTGCGTCTAGCGAATGACATGACGCAACTGGAACTACGGCTAGAGCATATCGTGCCAATGTGCAATGTTGGTGCTTCCTACGAGGAGCTCCGCGCGTTTCGCCACATGATTTTCTTAGAAAACGGTGAAATTCTTCGCGACACTACCATTGACAAGATTCGACCAAGCAACGTGTGGCACCACCTCACGTCTCGCGCTCCGCCTGAGCTTCAACTGCCACATCAGATGAAAAACTGGACAGCCTCTAAGTATATCGAGTGGCTCGACACTACACGGCAATCTTCGTCATCTACGAGCGACAAACCATCTGCGTTGTCACCGTCTTGGAGAGAACTGCCGCTTGGTTATCCATGCTTGAAAGACTCTCGCTTAGGTTTGCAAGCTGAAAAGCAGGCTTGGAAAGAAATAAGCAAGTGTCTTGACGCATACTCTCAGCGCGTGAGCGCATCTGCAAATGCCGAGTTGAGTCCAGTTTACGACTTGTTGCAGGAGTCTAGTACCATTCTGTTGGCAGGTTACGAAGTAATGGATTCTCGGCAAATGAAATAGAATCCATGCCAGGCGTGTTTTGCGTCACGATGGTGCTTGATTCATCAGTTGTACAATTGCACCTGGTAATTCATTTACCTTTCTTCTTCGTGCCTAGAACGCTCTCGTGACAATTGGACTATCACAATGGAGCAAGTAACATGTTAGCTCTTCTCCTTATGTGAAACCCGCATCTCTTTCCAACTAGCGCGATGCTCATTCAAAGGTGTCGTTGACGCGTGATGCAGCTTTCGTTTTGTCGCAGTGAACACCATTTGCTTGACCTCGTAGGTGAAGTCTACAATAAGAACAGCACACTGATACAAAAAAACATGCGGGTTATTGAAACCATGGTTTGTGGTGTATTTGTCTCCCCAAGTGACAATCCGGCCAATGTTTCTGCAACGTGTTGAAGCCCCAAAACGAAATGATGCACTGTCAAAGCGAACATTAACATTATGCTGCATTTCAGCAGATATTTGGCCGACACAAACGACTGCTTTCCAGGAAGACTGCAGACATGACTTACTGCTTCTTTTCCAGGATGATGTTGAGCTGGTTGTAAAGCGACTCCTCTTTCTTCCTGTCAATCGATTCCTGCATGCGCTGCAGCGTTGAAAACATCTTCGACTTCGTCGCTTCATCAAAACGGTCCAGGTGGTCGAAGCACTGCAGCAACGGATATGCAGACATTTGGTTGACCTTGCCAATCTTCACAAACGCCTGCACCATCACGTCGAGACCCTCATCCGTGGCCAGCGAGAATTCGCGGATCTGTGTCAGACAGCGTGACAGCGTCCGTCCATGGCTGGACTGAGTTGGGTTAAAGCTTGGGTTCGCCAAGAGCTTTAGAATCTGTTTGCCCACATCCTTCGAATCCAAGCTGCTCACGATACCGATGTATTTGGTCAGCATGTCAGGTGTCTTGCGCCACTCTTCGAAAATCTCTTCCTGCACCTTCGCGCGTTCCGCAAAGCTTTCATCTTCTAGGACGAGGCGGAAACCAGTGACCTGGTCCGTCACGAAGGTAGATGTTTTGAGCAGGTCAAGCGCCAGCTTCGAAGGTGCCACCGTTGGTGCCACCCTAGGCGTCGTGCTGAGTACGAGAGACTTCCCACCAGCTACAATAAGCCGCAAGAGATGGCACTTGAGAGCACGCTCCTGGAACTGTTCCACATGCGGTCCAGGATGAGCCACGTCGCACAGTTTTTTGTATGCCGCCTCGATTTTAGTCGAGTACCGGGTCCACACTGCCTGCAACAACGCGGTGGTCGCCTCCTTTACAGCAGCATAGTGGTGGCTTAAGTCGTCACGACTCGAGATAGTTTTGGACTCCATCAGCGTCAGCGCACGTGCAGATGGAGTGAGCTCATCTGAAAAGAGGATCGAGCCGTGTAGCTCCACAAACTCAGGTGAGATTTCCACCTCCTTGTTGCCGTTTAGCAGTCCTTCAATCACCTTCGCTTTTTCAGTATCCGCCACGCTGCGGTAGGCCCAATACTTGTTCACAGCGTCCGGGTCAGACAGCGCTTGCTTTGTAAGCCGTGCTACTGACGTGTTTGTCTGCTTTGATTTGCCAAAGAAAGACCATCCACGCGCGAAAGAGAAAAAATCCGGCTCCTCCATCACATCAGAGATGACGAGTCTGGCGTCCTTCTTTTTCATAAGGAACACGCCGTTCTTGATCGACTTGCCATCCTTAACGAGCGACCAGTCAATTGGAATTTCCCAGGGACCGTTGTTTTCAGCAGGTTTGTCCTCAAAACCTGTCTGCAAAATTTCCACAACGTACTCCTTCGAAGCAGCCTTGTATTCGGTCGAGTACGTAACCTCAGGGTGGCCCGGTCGGTTCAGCCATGTCTTGGCCAGATTCTGCAAATTTAAGCCCGAGCATTCTTCCATGCACTTGATCCACTCCATACTCGTGGCATTGCCAAACGCATACTTTGTGTGGTACATATCAAGGGCTTTGTGAAAAGTGTCTTCGCCCAAGAGCAGCTCCACCATGCGAACGAACTCAGGAGCCTTCGAGTAGGTTACAGCAGAAACTAGTTCCTGCGTTTGATTGAAACCCTGTGGCTCGATAGACAAAGATGTCGCCGATTTGTCTTGGGCAAGCGGTCCAATAGCCGGGGTGAACATGTGCAGGACTTCGCTCAGACGGCTGTAGTCCTCGCCGAATATGGCTGCTGCGCGCTTGCGCTCCATATGCACTGTAACAGCCTCGTTCAGCCAGATCTCGAACGGTGACTGACCCGTAACCTGGCTGCCGTTGATGTTGTGGTAGTACTCGTGGACCTTCACGTGCTCCATATACTCGTATGACCTGTCGTCCATGCGGCAACTCGGACACAGACACGAACTCACAATGGTGGTGTTACCGACATTCTCCATGCCGCCATAGTACGAGTTCTCCATGGCGATCTCGCGGTACACGGCACCAGTGTACTTGTATCCGGTCTTCTTCCACACCTTCAGCAGCTCTTTCAGCTCCGCGCGAACACTAGCTAGACGTGCAGCATCAGCATCATTCAGTGGCGTTTTCACATCCTTCTCGTTCGGTCCAAGACACAGTTCGCCTTCTTTAGCCTTAAGTGCTTCACGCTCTTTGAGCAGCTCATAGATACGCTTGCGTTCGTCATGGTGCTCGCAAGCTTCCGGGCCGAGGCTCACCATCACCCATAGCACAGATTCATGCAGCATCTTGATGGCTGCTTTGGCGTCCGCCGGCTCAAAGTAGCCAGGAAACGCCAAAATCTCCAGCAACGTTGTATCTCCATCTGGAAACTCGAGAGTACGTCGGAATGTCTCATACGTGCCCACACCTAGAAAAAACAAGTACGGAGCCATGTTCACCGTGTGGTTGTAGTATTTGAGCACATGACGAGACGAATCGTCTACGCCCAGTACTTCCACCGCTGGGTGGAACACAGGCACACCCGTCTTTGTGTGGAATCCAGGTGCCAAGTCTCCATTTGTAATGATGTTCGTATAGCGTGTGTCTGCTACAATCGTGGTGGTATAGTAGGCTTTGGCGTCCATTGTGTCAATACACGGTACAATGCGTTGGAATCCATGTTGTTGACATTGTGTAATGATGGTCTTGGGTGCACCCTCAGGTGTGTAATCAAAGTACAATCCCTCCAGGATGTTCTCTGTTGGGACAGCTACTGACACTGTACGGATAACAAATTCTTCTCCAGACTGCACAGGCTTGACAAACTTAATGACAAGAAGATGATCCTCATTGTCCACGTCATACTCGAGTCCATATGGTTCTGTAAAGCTCTGCACGTGCATCACAAAGTCCTTTGTATCACTTAATGGTGTAAACTTGTTAAACTGCTCTACGGATAGAATGTCCAGGTCTTTTGAGTTGAGTTTAAGCTCAGAAAGTGGCTGGACTCCATCGTGCTTGAGCGTCGTTTGTAACGTCACCTTTACGTTGGCTTCTGTAATATCAAAGACCATATCAAAGTGCAATGGCTTGGTACCAAGTGGTTGAAAATCCCCACGTGTAAAACGATATTTCTTGGCGGATTTCGTGCTCGTCATATTGAAAATTAGTTCTTCGGGTTTTCCTAGATCTGAAATTCTAAAATGACGTGGTAAAAGATCTTTTTAAGAAAGTAGATGGCTGTAGGATATATCGAATTTCACAGGAGATAGAAAATATTCATTGGTTAGCCCTGATTGGTCAAAATGTCAAATCTGAACATCTACAGATTTAGAATTACGGTTTGTATGAGTTTTAGACTTATTAATTTACTGCTTCTAAATCTAGTGATGGTGCTGCTACACTAGATATGGCCCAATAGCATAGAAATTGTCTTGGCATGTGCGACAATATTAAGCAACAGTTCAAGGATATGTGTAAGCAACAGTCCGTTAATCTTCCCTCACCTTAAGCTTGCGGGCCGACGCTTGCGCTTCAAATAAAGCGAGCCGCTAATAACATGCTTCGAGACACGTTTCTCAGCTCGAGCACGATCCTATTCTTTTCAGCACCTCATTTAAATTTTGCGCTGTAACAACCGCTTCTTGTTGTCATAATCCGCAAGACGAAAGCGTCTTAGGCTTCAAATACAGTAAAAACTAAAGGATGTATTAGCATGGGGGGGCTACAGCCACCGAGTATACGTACTAAGTGTTCCGCATCCTGTTGGAAAATGCTGCTCGACAATGATGTCTCGGACCAATTTGTCATTTGCTACGAGTAGGTACGGTAGTCCTAGCCTTTATGACCACTTGCAACAGCAGTCCGACTTGCAACCGCCGAAGCGGGTGTTGCGTGGCGCGAGGACCTTCCGCGTCACCAGCGTAGAAGATTCTCCTGGTCTGCCGGCCGCACACCCGGTGGCTGCGGGAAGGCATTGTGGTGGAGTGGATTCTCAAACGACGTGAGAGAACCACAAACACACACAGCGCCGGACTGCCGACTTACGGAGGGGGTACCCCGATACCGTGTCGCGTCAACCTTGGGTCTTACCTTGTGTTCCCGTCGGCTTGGCTGGTCTTGCTCCTCGTTAGACGCAGAAGACTTAAAGACTTGGTCTTGTATGGAGGGACTTGGGGGCCACGAGTGGATATGCTTCACTCGGGCCCAGAGTTTCTTGGGCTCAATCGACTGGGTCGAGAGCAGTGCACCTGGTACTATGTACCCCATCGGTGGCTAACGGTTTCTTGGTCTTTCGACCCCTTTTCGTGTTCCCCGTAGGGAAACCGCTTCCTATAGCGGGTCGTGGAATGGGTACGAACCCACAGGCCAAAATACTTCCTGGGGTTCGTTCGAGCTTGAATCTTACCACACGTCTGTCTGCAACGGGGGGGGGGGGCCAAAATAAATCCCTTCCCCGGAACAGGTGGGTAGATCGAAACAAGCTCGCACTTGAGTCTTGACACTAACTTGACACCTCAGGCCAACTATCCTGAGGTTCAACTTGCGTTGCTTGAGCCGTCACCTCATCTGACGTCGGTGGGCCAAAGGGTATCCCGCCCGGAATAGGTGAGGTGACGGAGAAGCTTGAAGGAAGCGCTTGGAGCTGCCACGTGTAATGCAAATTCGAGTGTGTTTATTTATCTTATTCTCTGTAAGCTTTTTTTTGCCTAACCCTAACCCTTTGATCTGGATAGTGCCACGTGTCGACTCTTGGAGGAAGAACTGGCTCCTTGGTACCTGTACTTTCTGTAATCTTCGATATTCTGTGTACCGATTCTGCACCCTCGGACATTAGGCCTGGGCCCCTGGGTCCCTGGGCCCCTGTACCCCTAAGCCCCTGTACCCCTGTACCCCTGTACCCCTGGGCCTCTGGGCCCCTGTACCCCTGGGCCTCTGGGCCCCTGTACCCCTGGGCCTCTGTACCCCTACCCTGGGCTCTTGTACCCTGTACTCTTGGACCTTGGGGCCTGTACCGACTCTGCACGTTGAAATACCTTGTACCTTCTTTGACCTGAGGACCTTGGACCACCTCTGGGCACTGGACCTTTCGAATCCTGGTGTGCACCCGGTAGGGTAACCTTGTACCTTTGACCCTGGACGTTCGATACCCCTGTCCCCGATAGCTGGTACCCCTGTCCCTGGTGCCCTGTCCCTGGTGACTGAAAACCCTGTCCCTGGTGACTAGGAACCCGCGTCCCTGGTGACTGGTACCCCTGTCCCTGGTGACCCTCGGTTGAACCTTGGAACCTTGCGAGGCCTGGGTTCTTTTACCCTGGTACCCTGGTCTCTTGTACCGTGGGCCCTTGGACCTTGGAGCCTGTAATGGCTCTGCACGTAGAAATACCTTGTATCTTCTTTGACCTTAGGACCCTGGACCACCTCGGGGCACTGGCCCTTTCGGGTCCTGGTGTGCGCACGGTAGGGTAACCTTGTACCTTTGACCCTGGACGTTCGATACCCCTGTCCCCGGTAGCTGGTACCCCTTTCCTTGGTGTCCTGTCCCTGGTGACTGATACCCTTGTCCCCGGTTACTAGAAACCCTGTCCCCGGTAATTGGTATCCCTGTCCCCGGTAACTGAAAACCCTGTCCCTGGTGACTGGAAACCCTGCCCCTGGTAACCCTCTATTGAACCTTGGGAACTTGCGAGGCCTGGGCCCTTGTACCCTGGGGCCCCTGTACCCTGGTACCCTGGGGCCTTGTTACCCTGGGCCCCGATTCTCCTGGCACTTCACCA